CACAGACCAGGAATGCCCAGGGTTTTGTAGGCGACCACCAGGAGCCAGCAGAGAGGCATGGAACAGATTCTCTCGCTGAGCCCCCCCGGAGGGAGCCCACCCTGCCAACTGCTGGATGCCAGCCTTCTGGCCTCTAGAACGGTGAGAGAAAAATTTCTGTTGTTTTAAGCCATCAGGTTGGTAATTTGTTATGGCAGATTTGTGCTGTAACTCGCTGCTGCCGCCCTAGGAAACAAAGGCAGGTACATACTACCAGCGTGATGCCCCAGTGTTCACGCTCACCTCGATCACCTGGCTATGCCAGTTTTGTCAGGTTCTCTGTGTAAGGTTACTATTTCCCCACTTTCCATACTGTACTCTTAGGAAGGAGATCACTGTGTACAACCCGCCTTTAGGGAGTGAGAAGCTACGCTTCACATCACAAGGAGTTTTTATTTGTTGCTATTGTGAAAGAAACTTCTTCTTTTAATATTTCCATACACATTATTACCCATATAAAGGACTTATATGACTGGTTGAAAAACTTGTATGTAGCAACTTTACTAAACTCCTCTATTAATTCTATTAGCTTTTTTCCTATTTGATTTCTTTGGATTGCCTGGAATTATAAGTAATACTTTTGCCTTTTCTTTCTGCATACTTATACATTGCTTTTCTGTTTCATGTCCTATTACATTGGTCAGGACTTCCAGAAGACTATTCAAGAACAGCAGTGATGGGAGATCTAGTGTGAATCCTAGGATTTTTGTCTGTTGAGACTCTCAGTTCTTTGGGGCACCTTCTCCTCTACCCCATGCGTGCAGTTCTGGTGTGATGATTTCCATTCATAGGTGGCACCCACCCCTCTGGCACAGAGCTGAGTGTCTGGTCCAGGTCCAGGCAAACAGAAGACCCTGTCTTCCTGGCCAGGGTGACTGTTCAGATGTGGGCATGAAACCCAAGCAGGGCCAACCAAGTTTTCTCCCGGGTTTCTGTTTGTTAGTTTGGAGCTAGAAGAGAAGAAGGGAAGGTCTTACTTTCTGGCTTACCAGGTGGGGAAAACAGGAATGAGGGTATGGGAGGCAGGAAGAGAGAGGATGCCTGCAGAGGAGGAATGAAACCAAAGAGAGAATGGCAAAGGGCGGGGAGAGAGATTGGGAGGGGGAGGACACTAATGATCTTGTTTTTAAATCTCTGCATCCAAACTTCCTGGTTAAGTGAGCCAAAAATTTCTGTTTTCCATTTTTCTGTGCTTACGTTGGATCACTTACAACAGCAAGAATTTTGACTGTTACGGAAATCATTCTTGCCCTGGTGACTAACATTGTTAGGCAATGGCTGTGCCAGGCTGAGGGCATGTGGCGCTGCCTCCGATCTCCACCTGTGCAGTCCAGGTCTCCACCGGGATGTAGATACTACGTAGAGGTTACAGTTGAGGAAACCAAGACCCTGGGAGACAAGCAGTGGCCCATGTTCTTCCAGGTAGAACGTGGCAGGCATCCCTTGGACCCACGCTCGCCTGACGCTCTGGCTCTCTCACATCAGGCTGAGCACAGACATCCGAGAAGACCATCAACATCAGCTGTGCCACTCAGAAAAGGTGAGCGTGTCGCTCTGTCCCTGCTGCGCTCCCAGCGGCGCTCGTCCGGGTCCAGGCTGCAGGTGCCGCATGGCTGCGCCTTTTCTGAGCGCCGATTCCAGCAGGGAAGCAATAGTTACCTGAACTGCAAAACACTGGGAACTTGGTTTCTTTGAAAACTAGCTGGAAAGTCCGGGAGCTCAGGTATCTAAATAATCCTGAGGCGTGGAGGAGGAAGGTGAGTGATCTGTCTAGCCAGAGATGTCGCTAATGGAACTACTGGTGGAGGAAAAGGAGTTTGCAGAGCCCAAAACAGTGTGCTGAGCCAACCTGCGCGGCGACGACCACCGAAGCGCCCAACCTGAAGACCCTGCTGGCCGCCAACCGGGTTGCGGCTCCAGGACTCTAGGCCCTTCCATGCCACACCCTTCAGAACCTGAAGCCCCCAAGAAAGGCGCAGAGCCGGGTGAGCCCGGCGTCCGAGGACCGGCCCCGAGCGCTTTCCGCTAGTTTCAGAGCTTTTTCAGACTTTGCCTTCCCCGCGTACGCGTCCGCCCTCTGCGAGACCCGCGGGCGCCCGCAGCGGTGCCGAGGTGCAGGGGCGCGCCCAAGGTCGCAGACTGGCTGGCGGCGCGCTCGGCCCGGCCGCCACGCGGGGCGGGTCGGGGAGGGCGGCCCGGGGCGGGGACTGCAGTGCGGGCTGCCCTGAGCCGTCCCAGCCGCGGCCGCGGAGCCTCCCCGCTGCAGCGCGCCAGGCACATGGAGGCGCCCCTGGAGCCCGCGCCCGGGCCCCGAGGCCCAGAGGCCAGCCCCGAGCGCCGCGGGCCGCGCTGCCTGCCGCTGTCCGACTTCCTCGGGGAGCTGCGGGCGCTCTTGGTGCTGGCGGGCCCCGCGGTGAGTAAGATGGCCTGAGTCGGAGGCCGGTCCCGGTGGCCGGTGGCCCGGTGACCGGTGCCCCAGCGCGTGGCTTGGTGCAGGTGGGGAGGGGACAGGGCGAGCTGGCCAGGGCAGCGGGCGGGCGCCGAGGAGCGCCGTGCCCAGAGCCGGGCGGGCGGCCCGCTCCTTCGCGAGCGCTCGGCTGCGCGGACCCGCCGGGCGCAGCTGGCACCGCAGGCGTCGCGTGCACGCGCCCGGGCGCGCGGCGGCAAGGCGAGGCGGGGGGCTCCCGCCTCCCGCATTCGGAGCTCTGGGGACCAGGGACCTGCGTCTAACGGGGCTCGATCCAGGCTGCAGGTGCGCCCGGTGCGCCTCTCCGGCTGCTTACAGCGAAGGAGCAAAAGTTACCCGAGCTTCAAAGCACTGGGGACTTGGTTTCTTTGAGAACTAACTGTCAAGTCCGGGACTCAGGCATCTAAACAAACCTGAGGCGGAGGAGGGAGGTGTATTGTCTCTCTTGGATTTAGATCTCCAAATCTGTTTCTCCAGAAGCCAGAGCCAGCTTGTACCCGAGGAAGCCAAAGGCATCCGCACCACACTCCCCTTCCCGCCAATTTTTTTTTTTTTTTTAAGAAAAAGAGCTTTAAAAATGTGGTTCTTTCGAGAGTTGAGGTGTTCTCATCTGTGGGATTTTTTTCTTTTTTGTTTTTATTCGTTCGGTTAGGGCTCTTTCCGCTTTGTCTCTTAAAAGTAATGTGGGTTTAAAAAACCACAAAAATAGAATCCGATGCATGTTTTCAAGCGGTTTGGGTGGTTTTCAAGCCAAGGGGGCAGGAGAGCCACTTCCTAGGACAAGAAGCAACCTGTGCGTGTTCAGGCGTGAATGAGCTCTGGCCGTGGGGCAGGCGTTCTGCACCTGGCCGGGCCAAGGTGGGCAGCCGTGTGCCCTGCAGTGATGGTGCCTTGTTTGCGGGACACTGCGATGCCCACTGTGCCGTGCAGCGCAGCGGGAATAATGCCGGGGACAAAGCCATGGAATGAAGATCCGCTCTGGCGAAGGGGTTTGTGACGCTCTCTCACAGCCGGAAGGAACTCATGGTTGGGAACCCCAAGACCTGGGGTTCAGTTCCCGGCTCTGATCGCCCAAAGTATGTTAGGAAACAGCTGTGTGAATTAGAGCAGTCTCTTAACCTCTTCTAGCCTCTGTTTATCCATCCATGAAACGAGGACAGCAGTCCGTGTTTGGCCCACATGCCCTCACAGAGTTGCTGTAGGAAAGGGCTTTGTAAGGCTGCTCCTGCTTTGCGGGGGTGGAAACACAAAAACAAAACACAGGCAGCTTTCTGAGGTCCAGCCCCTCCCAGCTCCCTGACCTGGTGATGCAGAGACCCCCAGGCCTCCTGGGCGTGGGGCGCCCGTGCCCGCTCTGTGTGCTCACCTGTGCACCCCATGGATGGGCCTGTGACTGCTGCAGATGCGCTGCATGTCCACTGCAGAAAAACTGGAGAGCCAAGACCAACAAAAGAAACAAACTCTGAAATCTCAACACTGAGGAGTAATCTGGGAAATTTCCTTCCAGTCCTTTGTCTGTGTGACCCTTGACTGCTTTGCAAAATTGTGGAGGTAGAATTCTGGCCCCTGCTTCGTCACTTGGGAACTGTGTGGAGTCCCTCTTGGTCTCTCTCCCATCTCCCATCTGCTGTGAGCTTTCCGCTTCCCCGGGGCAGCAGGTAGTTCTCCATGTCCAATCGCAGGCTGCTCCTTAAATTTAACAGGATGCCCTGTCTGGCCTTCCTCTCTGTGAACTTCTCTCTGTCCCCTCTCCCTTTCAGACTCTCAAGCTAACCAGAACCTTTTAGGGGTGATTCTCTCCCTCTGGGCTTGAAATGAGGCCTTTGTGGAGAGAACAATCCCTACCTCAAAGGAGGTGAGGGGGGCTCTCCATTTTACCCTGTGGAAAGTCAAGAAAACCAGTATTTGGTGGTGGGGGGTGTGGGGGCTGCAAATACCTAGCCTCATGCCTTCCAACCAGCTTTCTCTTTGTCATTAACATCTGGCCACCTGGCTAAGTCAGCAGGCTGAAGTCCTGAAAAATAACAACCCCAAAGATGGATTCCCACTTCTAGGGGGCATGGGTTGTGCGTGGCATTGTCAGGGATGTAACAGAGGCTAGGCTTCAATTCAGGGAGCTTGTTTCCATCTGTGCAGGGGAGAAACACCTGGGAAAGAGCTCCAGCACCTTCTAGGGCTGCAAAGAATAGACCAGGGAGGACCAGCAGCATAGGGGAGTGGGGAGGTGTCTGGAGAGACTGGCTTGACCCAGGACACACAAAGAAAAACATGCAGACTGACCATTTAAATTGTATCCTAGGCCAGGCATGGTGGTTCATGCCTGTCATCCTAGCACTCTGGGAGGCGGAGTTGGGAGGACTGCAAGAGCGAGACCCTGTCTTTACTAAAAATAGAAAAAATTAGCCATGTTGGTGGCATGTGCCTGCAGTCCTAGCTACTCAGGAGGCTGAGGCAGGAGGATTGCTTGAGCCCAGGAGTTTGAGATTGCTGTGAGGTAGGCTGACGCCACGGCACTCTAGCCCAGGTGACAGAGCAAGACTCCATCTCTAAATAAATAGTGTCCTGCAGGCAGTGGGGAAAAGACTTATCAGAGTGGCTAGTGACATCAGATTCAGCAGGAAGCTTGGTAGAAGCCAGAAATAACCGAGGCCTAAGGTGAGGAAGACCAAGTGGAAGACAGCTCCCCTGGACGTGAGGAAGTGTCCATGGATGGTGGCAGCTGGACAGAGGAAGCCTGGCTGGGATCCAACACTTCCCTCCCTGTCTTCTCCCCATCTCCTCTCCCAACCCATCCTCACCAAGGCCTTTGGTTTAGTGCCCTAAATACTCCCAGCGGGATCCGCTTCTCAGCATCTCCACCCTCGTGGGCCATGCTGCCCCAACTGCTCCACGCAGAGCTTTTCACCCCCTGCTCAAAACCCTTTCCTTGGTCCTCTAAGCCCCCTGTGGCCTGCCTTGCCTGAGTTTGTGCCACTATTGCCTGACCTGTGCCCTGCACCCAGCTGCCTCTCAGTGCCTCCTGCCACACTCCTTCCCTCTACCCAGAATGCTCTCCTGTCAGATAAGCCACCTTTACCTGCCTATGCATCCTTGACCTAGTCATCATTTGGGTTTCAGCTCAACTTTGTTTCCTCCAGAAACCTTCTCTGACTCCTCTGCTGCAAACTCATGCTCATCACACGTCATGAGCTCTGTTATTTGTTGCATCGTGAACATCTTTCACTACTGTATGGCCGCTCCCTGACTTACGGGGTTCCCCCAGCTGGAAATAGCACTAAATGCCTCTAAAGGATAAGGTGGCTGAGATTGTGGATTGCGAAAGTCCTACCCCACAGTGATGGCCACTGCTGGCCTGCCACCTTCATGACAGGCAATTATCTTTCGTTCCATCTCTAGAGTAATTGCCTTCTTCTTGCCAGAAGCAGGGTACACAGATGGCATTCGGTAGACACAGTGGGATGTGAAAACACAAAGTCCAGAAAACCCTGGCCATGCAGTGTACCGTGGAGCGTCAGGCATTTAGCCTGGTGACCTCAGGTCGACTGGGAGCCACGGCGGCTCGCTGCCACCGCCCAGCACCGCAGAGAGTCTGAGACTGCAAATTGCTAGGCTGGGAAGAGATCCAAAATCCAAAATTCAAAGTTCAATGGTTTCTATTGAACACATCTTGCTTTTGCACCATCATAAGTCGGGGATCGTCTGTACTGTGGGTTCCATGGAGTAGGAATGGAGCGATGGTCTTTGGCCAACTCACCCTGTACCCCAAGTGCTGGGTGTACTTTATACTCAGAAGGTATTGCCCTCACTGAACATCTGAGCTGACAGTCAGGTAACTGGGCTGCTTGCTACACCTCCCAGCCTGTGCTTCCTCACATACAGAAGAAGAGACTGTCCCAGACGCCCTCTCTGGTTCCTTCTGGGGGGTAGCTCCCAGGCATCCATGCAAGCGGGCAAGAGGGGCCCTTCTGGAGGCATCCGGCCCTAGAGAGCACCTGCCCAAGCTGCCAGGCGGTGAGTCTCTGCCTTGCTACCAAGCTTGTTATTGTTGCCTGGCCAAAACCTGAGCAGGGTCCCTGTGGCAAGAAGGGACGGAAGCACAGTCTAGCAATTTCTATCATCCTTCTGGCTCTGTCCAAGCTACTGCCAGTTCAGTCTGTTGTTCAGACAGCAGCCGCTGAAACGCCTAGGGGAAAAAAGCTTTGTCCAGCATTGTCTAATTCCTTGAGTGCAGCAATGTGCTCTGTGGCAGCACAATCCCAGAGGGTCTGGAGCATTCTCAAGGTGTGGTCCTCGACCACCTGCATCTCGCCTGGGAGTACATGGGCAGGGTGCATTCCCTGGCCCTGTGGATCTCTTGAGATGGGCCGGGCACAGGCATTTTGAACAGCCTCTCCCATGTGACCCTTATGTACATGAACTACAGTCTGTGGCCAAGAGTTCAAACCCAAAGGGCTTGAAACGAGATCTGAGAAGTGAGCAAATCTGAACTCTGGGGCCGTGAGACCAGGGCTCCGCGTGGCCGGCGGCACTCAGCTGCCCGGCTCTGGCAATCTGCACGCTGGGTTATTGCCATAACCCCGGTGAAGCCCAGCAGCCCTCACGAAGAGACTCTTTTTGCTGGCACTGACGCAGAAGGTGAATCTCACATGGATTAGTTTAACTCAGATTGACCTCCTGGCCTTTTGTATCAGAGACATCCAACCATTCCCACCCTCGGCCTGGGCGCTCGCCCTAAGAAAATGCCTGTCTCCCGCCCAAGTGAAAAAGATGTTTAGGGCGGTACATCCGTGATAGTGAAATATGGGAAAATCTCCAAAGGCCTGACGCCAGGGGAGACTGGACACGTCTTCACACGAAGCTGTGCGGAATGGCCTCTGTGTGGCCTGCAGGGAGACAGGCGGCGCGTGGGGACACGGCGTCGCACGGGGAAGCAGAAAGATTCGGTGAGCGTGGCCACTTGCGACGGCTGACCCGCACAAAGGCTTAAAGGACGGCGGTCGGGAAAGATGTGCAAGTGTGGCAGAGCTCACAAGCAAAAAGGGCTCCGTGGCCGTTAACGGCCCTGAACGCACAGCTCAAGGACACCAAGCTCCAATCCACACTCAGCCCTGTGGTGGTGAGAGGCGCTTGGATCCTGGTTGGGGACTGACACAAGAAAGACGGGTCCCCTACAGAACACCACCCCCAGGGCTAGGGTCAGGCTTTTTGGGTTTTGAAGGTCTGGGCCCATCACAGGGGCTGAAAACTGGCCCTCCCCAGATGTGGATGCTGGGGAGGGAAAGAGGAGGGTCCCCGGGGCCGCGGGGGCAAGGGGCCTGCGGGTCCTGACGTGGCACTCCGGGCAGGCCGTGGCACTGCCTGACGGCCGCGCGGGGCCTGGCGGAGGTGAGCTCTGGAAGCCGCGCCACGGGCCGAGGAAGAGGGCCCTCGCTGAGCTCAGGCAGAGGCGCCCAGTTCCCTTGAAGGGCTGTGAGAGGTGGCAGCGGGGCTGGACCAGTGGCAAGCGTCACAGGTCACCATCCCCAGGGGTCCGCTTTAGGAAGGGGCCTTGCAGGGGCACTGTGGGTGGCGGCGGCAGCAGCAGCAAATCCTTAGGCACCTGTTCTCTCCTCCTAGGAGCAGGCGGTCAGATGAGCCCCTCTTGGCATGAGCCTCGGAGGGGCGCGGGGCTTCCCCGGGAGAGACTGGACTGCCTGGTCTGGCGGGTGGGAGGCAGGACGTGGCTTTAAATTGGCCTCAAGAAGCGAGCTCATTGCCCAGTTGTGCTGCAGAAACACAGTGGAGCGGTTCCTAGCAGTGGCTGGAATTTGGAGGAAGAGTAGCTCAGTGTTACAGAAGCTGAAGTTGCTCTCGTATCTGACGCTGCATAGGGTTGAAGCACAAAAGGTGCTCCACAGACCCCTGGTGTCACCTGGAGATTTCCAATCCCGCTGGCCTTCCAGTGGGATGAGCACGTTTCTCCCTGGGCGCCTCCTGCCTGCTGCGGGATTTCCTGCCGGCTGCAGCGAGTTCTCACTGTCGAAGGCTGCATTCTCCCCAGTCCTCACCAGGAATCTCACATAACAAGACAGTTATCCCAAAAGGCAGCCTCTGCAGATTTCAGAGGAAATTTAACATGATCTATGGCATGAGAAATTGCAGTGAAAAAAATAAACAAAACACATTGGGAAGTTCTCAAAAACATGATTCTGACCCAATGGTTGCAAAAAAAAAATTAATATTTCAGGAAGTTACCCCTCCCCCCCAACCCCCCGTCCTGAAATTGTGCATTTGCCTGTGAAAGGTGGCGGGGGCTCACCGATACTGGGTTTCTTTGTTTCCACTGGAGCTGAACGGGGTGGAATCGGCCCTGGGGCTGGGCACTGCACCCTCACCACAGTGAGGTGAGTGGGCACTCACCTCCCTTCTCCCTGTCTTCGCAGTTCCTGGCCCAGCTGATGTTGTTCTTGATCAGTTTCATAAGCTCCGTGTTCTGCGGCCACCTGGGCAAGCTGGAACTGGACGCTGTCACCCTTGCAATTGCCGTGCGTATGGGACCTTCTAATGCTAATCCACACCCTGCTGCTGTGACAGACACTAAACACAGCGACCTGCCTCCACACAGACTCACCCTCTTACAGTTCCGGGGGGCAGGAGTCCGCAGTGGGTTTCACTGGGCTGAAATCAAGGTGCCAGTGGGGTTGCAACCTTAATTCTCCTTTGCCATGTCACCTTGCAGATCCCTAAGTTCTGGGGCTCAGGATGAAGACATCTTTGAGGGGACATTATCCTGTCTGCCTCATCATCTAGTTTCTAATCCATGAGTCCTAGTTCCCACTCTTGCTCCACATCTGGGAGAAGGGAATTGTAGAAGGAGAGTCGAGTCTGACTTCATGAGGAGAAACTCAGTCCCCGTGCCCACCCCCTCCAGTGTCTGTCTTCCAGAAAGTCCTAATCTAGAAATGGAACTGGAAGGCAAAGTCTAGATAGATCCTAGTATCCAAACCTAACATCGGTGGGAGCCCAAATCCTCTCTGTATTGTAGATGTAAACCCCCAAACCAGAGACACGCCATTAATCTCTGCCAGGGATTTTCAATTGGCCACGTAAGACCAAAGGATTTTGGTTTGGGCAGTTAGGTTATTTCTAGAAAAATGGATTCAGCGACTCTCAGTAGGGTGTGTGTTCCTGCTCCCGCAGCCTCCCCTCCACTCCCCAACTACGCTGGTGGAAACACACTTTAAGCTGGCCCAGCTGCTCTGAGCAGGGGCCCAGGCAGTTTAGGAGTTGATCGGATTGACTTGTGAATGCCTGGGGAGGAGCTTTGCAGGCCGTCAACACAGGTGAGAATGTAACTTCCTTTCCTCCTTTAATCCTGTGTAGCCTCACCCTTGGGTTTATTTCCAGGTTATTAACATCACGGGCATTTCAGTGGGATTTGGCTTATCCTCTGCGTGCGACACCCTCATCTCCCAGGTAAATGGAAGTGGTTGCCCTCTCACAGTGACCCTGGATGGCTCTCAAGTGTAGATGGGAGAGCCCCCCTGGCAAGAGGGAGAGTCATGTGCACAGGCGAGGAGATCCACGCCAGGAGCACCTGCAGCAGCTGTCAGTCATCGGTGCTCCTGGCCTGCTGTGAACTAGAGTTTATCTGCATGACTGCCTGGCACTATACTTTGACCAAATAGGGGCATTTCTATCACACACTGCATGTTTGAGTTAGGTATAGTCCTGTGGTTCTCAAACTTGAGAATTGCCAGGAGGGCTTGTTAACACACAGGTTGCTGGGCCCCAGCCAATCTCATGCCAGTAAATATTCAACAGCCAGGTGGGAGAGCAGGGGTGGGAGGGAAACATCTGACTTGTGGTGTTTGCCAATTCCAGTGGTGTAAGTGTTCCCTGTGGTTAATTTAAAGCTACCACAGAGATGTCACTGACCACGGAGCCGTGCACAGTTTGGCTTCAGTAAGCCGGTAGGAGCTGGCTCTGGCACACCGCTGGCCCTGCCCCCAGGATCTGCTTCCGTAGGTCTGGAGCAAGTCTCAAGAATTTGCATTTTAACAAGTTTCCAGGTTATGCAACCCTGACTGCACATTAGAATCACACGGGGAACTTTTAAAAATTATTGATATCTGAGTCCTGCCTTGGACCAATTAAATCCAGAATATCTTTAGCAGGACTCTAGCATCAGAGTTTTGAAAATGTTCCCCAGCTGATTCTAATGGCTGCCACGTTTGAGAATCCCTAATCTTTCTCACTGATGTGCCTTCCTACCTAAAGACTGGCAAAGTCTTTGCTGGGCATGACCAAAGGCTTTGGGGGGACAGCGAGGGTGCCACCTCTTGCTAACGGCTGTGTTTGGCTGTGTGCACCCCAGACATTCGGGAGCCGGAACCTGAAGCACGTGGGGGTCGTCCTACAGAGGGGCGCGCTCGTGCTGCTGCTCTGCTGCTTCCCCTGCTGGGCACTCTTCCTCAACACCCAGCACATCCTGCTGCTCTTCAGGCAGGACCCCGATGTGTCCAGGTGAGGTGGGACCTGTCATGGTGGGACTGGTGTCCATCCAGCCGAGGAAAGACCGTCCTTCCAGGTTCGACCTCTGGGAGTTACAAAGGCCGGGGGCTGTGCACCAGCCCGGGCGTAAGCTCTCCTTGGTGGATATCCCCCAGGTCTTAGTACTTTCCATGCCTGGCACCTGAGCTAGATCCCTCTTCTTGGGGGTGACTCCTAGGGTTAAGAGTTTTGAGTGCAATTAGATTTGGAAACATTCTCCATGTGGGATGGTAGTTTGTGGTTTGGTTCATAGCTTAGTTATTCTTGACCTTGGTTGATAATAAAACCACTTGGGTGCTTTTCAAACCCACCCATCCCCCTGCCCCCCCCCATTCTGTTTTAATTGGTCCAGGGCGAGACCTGGGCATCGGCTTTCAAAACATCCCAGATGATTCTAACGTGCTTCTTAGTGTGCGACCTACTGGTTAAATTGATTAAGACCTTTAAAAAGTCCTTGTCCGAAACCAATGGCTCTGAACCCAGAGGACATTTGCCAATATCTGAAGACATTTCTGGTCGTCGCAGCTGGTAGTGAGGGGTTGCTCCTGGTAGAAGCCAGGAAGGCTGTGGAACATGCCCGGGACAGCTCCCACAGCAGGGAGCTATCCGCCATCCTGCTGAGGTTGCAAACCCTGCCCTAGACCTAAAGACTTAAAAGCAGCAAGAAAGGTTACCTGGGGTATAAGATGACAAGCTCTACGAGTAAATTTTTACATTTGCTCCAGCAGTTTAAGCCCATTAATTTAGAAAGAGCTGGGAATGCAAAAGGCAGCTTTAGTTGTTTTACTCTGCCTCCTTTTGCTTGGAACAGAGGCCTCTATCGCTGCTTCTGTCCTTTCCTTCTGCAGGCTCACGCAGACCTACGTCACCGTCTTCATTCCAGCCCTTCCTGTGAGTGCTCAGAGTCCAGCGCCTCCCTGCTTGCGGTCTGGTGCCACGTTCGATGAGTCCCACCTGTGGTGGCTGATTTTAATCGTGCCCATTAAGGACACCACAGATGTTTGTCTCAAAGAAACCCCAGGGGGGAGGCGACTCAAGAGGGCCACTGTCCTGAACTCTGTAAGCTGAAGGGAACTCTAGGATCATCGCTGGAGCAGACTGCAGACTTTTTGTTTTGTATAGGGACAAAGTCTTACCCAGCCCCGGCCCCTGAGGGCATCACGTGGAGCCTTTCACCTACTTTTTATCTGAGTGTGATCACACAGAACCTCAAGAGCGTGTTAATGTGTGACACAGCAGCGAGGTCAAGGCCCCTGAAGACAGGGTGCTCAGCTGGGCTGCAGGAGCCTGCTCCGGCCCACACCTGGCCCTGCGGACTGGGCGGCTTAAACGACAGAGACTTGTTTCTCACAGTCTGGGAGCTCAAGTCCAAGGCCAAGGAGCCAGCAGGGCTGGTGTCCCCTGCAGCTTCTTTCCTTGGCTCGTGGATAGTCCCTTTTGCCGCCTCTCCACACGCTGTCCCCAGCACGTGCCACGGCCCTGGTGCCTCTCTCTTCTCACAAGGACATCAGTCCTCTTGGATCAGGGCCCACCCTGACGGCCTCATTTTAGCTTAATCACCTCTTTAAAGACCAGTGACTCCAAATACAGTCAACGGTAGGGTCAGAACTTCGACATATGAATTTAGGGGACACAATTTGGACACATAATGGTAGCTATTTGCCCTAATAATTGGCACTGTGCTCTTTACTTCATCCTGAAACATTTTCAATGTGATATTCTTTAATTATTTCACCAAATAGGACTATAGCCCAGTCTACATGGAGGTGCCCCCCTTTCCTCCTTTCTGTGCCAGTGGGCCCGGGAGAGTCCATGCCATGTACCCAGGGAGACTGGGGCTGCTGGATCATCTGCACCCATAAAAGAGATGCACAAACACCCTGGCCATAGACCCCGGTCCCTGCCCCCATGCTGAGGTGACAGCGTCCAGGGCTCCGCGTGGGAGCAGAGGGCAGCCGAGTCTCGGTTACGGCTCCAGCCGGCCGCGGCCCTGTGTCCTCACTGTCGTGTGGCAAGGCTGCGCGTTGACGCTTCTCTCTCGTTCTCTCGTAGGCGACCTTTCTTTACACGTTGCAAGTTAAATATTTGCTCAACCAGGTAATGCCAACTGCCCTTTGCTCAGGGGGCTAACGGGAGTTTGCGCCTTTCTGGGAGGGGGGCCCTGAAGATCCCCCAGGAAGGACCAGGGAGACCTGGAGGATGGAGGAAGACAGTTTTTGGTGTTGTGCACATAGAACTTTGCTGTTGAGAGGTTTGTTACGTGATAGCGACATTATTCTTGGCTCTGGAGAATTCACACCCAGTTCCCACTTGGAAATGTCATCACTGGCAGGGCAGCGTCCCAGCTGCAGTGTGCTTTGGCTCTGCGTCTGAGCCCGCGCCCTGGGGGGAAGGTGCATGCCTGTCCACCCCCTGGACAGAACCGAGGGCCGGAGCGGCCCGCCTGGCTCCAGTGAGCAGCCTCCGCTGGGTTCTGTCTGAAAGGCCCCATCTTCCTCAGCGGGACGTGAAAGCTCCAATGATAACGACACCAGACATCAGCCAGAGCACTTCACACGAGATGAACAGTGCCGGCGAAAGCCTGCGAGGTCGCTGGGCTCGGTGGGTGTGGCTTTATGAAGCCAGCGTAGGTGGGGCTGTCGGCTTCCTTCCAGGTGAATTCAGGCAAATGGGGTGCCAGGAAATGGATTGAGCCACACAGCCAGGCTTTCTAGGCATATGTACCAGGAAGGGATGAGGAAGGGGAGAAAGAAGAAAGTTTCCCATCTATTTAGTGTTCTTTTTTTTTAAGACAGACTCTTAAAAAAAAGACAGAGTCTTGCTCTGTCACCTGGGCTAGAGCGCAGTGATGTCATCATAGTTCAGAGCAACCTCAAACTGCTGGGCTCAGGCGATCCTCTTGCCTCATCCTCCCAAGTAACTGGGACTACAGGCATGTGCCGAAATGCCCAGCTAATTTTTCTATTTTTAGTAGAGATGGGGTCTCGCTCTTGCTCAGGCTGGTCTCAAACTCCTGAGCTCAAGTGATCCTCCCACCTTGGCATCCCAGAGTGCTAGGATTACAGGTGTGAGCCACCATGCCTGTCCTCTTCAGTGTTCTTAAAATTAAAATAATACCCTATTAACAAAACAATAATGTTTTGAATCTTTATCAGTGTTAGAATTATGTACTTGAAATAGCTGTAGGCTAGAGAAGGAAAGCAGCATATCGGACCCGTCTCTGGGCTGTCTGTTTCAACCTAGAGCCTTGTTTGAAGCAGGTTAGTGGCCTTAGCACACTGCAGGGTCTTCTCCCTGACTCAGTCTCCCTACAGCTGTGGTGGCCCTAACTCAGGCTCTGACTTAACTAGTGAGGATGGTGGATGTGAAACCCTTGTCTCCAACACCCCGAGGCACGACTCCTCAAGCCACAGCTGAGAGGGCTCGGGAGGTTTGAACTGGGTTATAGAAGACACGTGGGCTCCCAGACAGGGGCAGAGGAGCCTGCTCTGAGGGTGGGGCGTGTGGAGTGTGGTGAGCCACTGCAGTGGTGGGGGACGCAGGGGATGGAGGCCCCGAGAGGTGGGCTGGCCTGCGGTCAGTACATGGAGGGCCTTGCATTCTCTGCTGGGGATTTTAGTTTTGGAAACACACTAACTGGCAGGGGAGAGATGAGAGCCATGGACATGGTCCGGACTGATGATGATGAAGGTCCATGGTGAAGGAAGAATGAGCAGAACGAAATGCTGCAGGTCGGGGGAGGAATGTTCCGCCCTTAATGGAAAGGCCCTGCCTTGGGCCCTTCCCTAGGGAGACAGCCGCCCCGTGGAGACGCAGCCGGGTTTGCAGAGGATGTGGGGGGGTGCTGAGCCCTGGCGACGCCCAGGCTTCCGTGTGGGGGAGGGGGGTGGCTGTCTCCTCGCGTGTCCTGTCTCCTCTCTGTCCCTGTCACGGCCACATTCACCTCTCTGACATCCGGCCATTCTGTCCAGCTGCCTTTGAGACACGCGTGCACGTCCCAGGCAAGACCCCTTCGCGTGCCCTGCTCCTCCGGAGTCCTGTGTCCCATCACCAGGAGTGGCCTTGGGCCTCCTCTCCCCGGTCACCTGTTGCACCCTTCACGCCGTCTTCCCGTCCCTCCTGTGTGACGGGGGTCACCTGGTCCTGTGGCTCCCCCAGCCACAGCCTGAATTTCTTTCTTTCTTTCTTTCTTTCTTTCTTTCTTTCTTTCTTTCTTTCTTTCTTTCTTTCTTTCTTTCTTTCTTTCTTTCTTTCTTTCTTTCTTCCTTCCTTCCTTCCTTCCTTCCTTCCTTCCTTCCTTCCTTTCGTTCGGTGCCGCGCTTGTCGCCGGCGGCCGCGCCCCTGCCGGCGCGGTCGCCCCCCGTGCCGCCGTGTCGCCGTCCCCCTCCCCTCCCCCTCCTTCCCTCCTCTCCTCTCCTCTCTTTTCTTTTTTTGAGACAGAGTCTCACTCTGTTGCCCAGGCTACAGTGAGTGCTGTGGCGTCAGCCCAGCTCACAGCAACCTCAATCTCCTGGGCTCAAGCGATCCTCCTGCCTCAGCCTCCCCAGTAGCTGGGACTAACAGGCATGCACGCACCCATGGCCCAGCTAATTTTTTCTATATATTTTTAGTCGGCCAATTAATTTCTTTCTATTTTTAGTAGAGACGGGATCTCACTCTTGCTACGGCTGGTTTTGAATTCCTGACCTTGATCAATCCTCCTGCCTTGGCCTCCCAGAATGCTAGGATTATAGGCGTGAGCCACCACGCCTGAATTGATTTCTTTTCATTTGTCCTCTGTCATTTTGGAGGATCTTCCTGAAACATAAATCTGATCACAAACTTCCCCAGTAAAAACTAACCCAGGTCTCCTGATAAATAAACAGCCACAACTCTCATCCAGGCCCCACCGGCCCAAGACCACCAGAGACAAACCTGCAGTCCCGCTGGGTTTATTGGCCCTGCATCAAGAGAGACCAGAGTGGGTGTCTCAGCAGGCAGAGGGAGAAGAGTTATTCCAAGAGTCTGAGGAAGGGTGGGCATCTGGTGAAACTGAACGAGGTCGTGTTGGCAGGCGCGGAGCAGGGCTGGAGCAAAGGGCCAGTGTCAGGTCTGGACTGTAGCGTGGGTGCAGGTCCTCTTCCCTTGGAACTGCGAGGCTGAGATGGGCGCGGCAGGGGGACAGACGCGCAGTGCCACGCCCAGAAACTCAGGTGAGCTGCACCTGGCTGCTCTTCTGTGTTACGGTGACATCAGCCTCCAGCCAAGAGTGAGATGTTTTCTTTTTACTGATATGATTTCAAACAGGAAAGTTTCTTATAGTCCATGATTTCAGGGAAAAAAATTTCCCAGTGAGCAAGAAAGCAGTAGTCATTCCAAAAGGAGACATAGTGACACTTTACAGGACAGCGTGACCATGGGGGAACAGTGGCTTCTCGTGCCTTTGCGGCTCACTGTCTGTGTCTGTTATTCTGCCCCGATGTGTGGCAGGAGAGATTTTTACTGCCTTGGTCTAACATAATTTCTCATGCCCTAAGTCTGAATCTGAGATACCAAGTAGTCTGGACATTTTTCAGACCCTGTCCTTATGAGAGTCAGATATGATGGAGTTCATTCCATCCTCTAGAAAGAAGCTCTAGCTTCCCAAGATTTTTATAGGTTGGTTTTCTGAATTTCAATTTTGGTCGAGAAAGTATTGTCATTTTCTCCCATCGTCTGGCGTTAAAAATGGCTTCTTGAACCCTTTTAGTCTCCGCCAGTCCTTGCACTGTTGACACGAGCCCTTCCTCTGCACCCTCTCTGCTGTCTTCTCACCCCTGCTGTGTCTGGCTGTGGCCAGAACTCTGCGCTCCACACCTCGGAGAGAAGAGGAGGGGACGGGCGGGATGCGGGAGCGGCGAGGACGGGCTTCCCCAGCGGGGCCCCTTCCAGGCCTGTGACGCCGTATGTGTGTGCGGGTGGCAGAAGGGCAGTCCTGGTCTGCCCATCGCAAGCATGGCGTGCCACGTCCTTGTTCCAGGGAATCGTGCTGCCCCAGATTGTGACCGGAGTTGCGGCCAACCTCGTCAATGCCCTCGCCAACTATGTGTTTCTCCATCAACTGCACCTTGGGGTGACGTAAGTCCGACCTGCTCTTGGGACGGGGGCAGGCACGGCTTGCATGCGGCCTGTCCAGCGGGAGAAGAGTGAGTGGGCCCTTCAGCTGGTTCCTGCACCGCCCTGGAGAGCGCTGTCAGGGACGGAGGGGACGCTGCTCCGGGAGGACGAAGACCTCAGGGCCTGCTGAGGATGGCGCAGCAAGGGACGGACTGTTGCTGCCCTCGCTGCTGAGCGAGGCAGGGGAGGATGGAGGACAGGGAGCGCCCCTCACTGGGACCGTTCTTTCCAGAGGCTCTGCACTGGCAAATGTGATCTCCCAGTTCACCCTGGCTCTACTGCTCTTCCTCTACATCCTTGGGAAAAAGCTGCATCAAGCCACGTGGGGAGGTAAAGCCTGCCTTGCGTCTTCTACTTGGATGTGGGTTTTGTTTCGGGTTGAGCTGTGGCCCAGTGACCAAATCTACTGGAAACGTGTGTGTCCCGCCTGCAGGGTGGTCCCTTGAGTGCCTGCGGGACTGGGCCTCCTTCCTTCACCTGGCCATCCCCAGCATGCTCATGCTGTGCATCGAGTGGTGGGCCTACGAGGTCGGCAGCTTCCTGAGCGGTCAGTATGAGGACAGATGACAGCGACTGGTGGGGACATGGGGCTCTAACCCAAAGCAAGGTGTCAGCTGTCTTTCTTCCCCAGGTATCCTCGGCATGGTGGAGCTGGGAGCTCAGTCCATCGTGTATGAACTGGCAACCATTGTGTACATGGTGAGCGTCGGAGGGCCAGTGGTGTGGAGACGCTGGCTGTTTCCCTTGCTGGGCGTTTGAAAGAGCCCTACACAGCGAGCACCGCAGTCATACCTTAAGTGATCGTTGTGACATGATGGCTGAAAGTCAAATCTCATCCTCAAGCCTGGGAGGGGCTTCTGGTTCAGTTGGGTCTCCCCTGTGAACTGCAGGGGTGCTGGGCAGAAACTTCAAATGACCTGCTGGTTCTCTGTCTCCTAACGGCTCAGGTCTGAGAGGTTCGATTTTCTTTCCGCACTTTTAGAATCTTCTTCAGTTGTCACAACCCAAAGGCCTTGGGGAACAGGTGGGTGGCATCAAGGAGAGATGAGACTGGGAGTATGGCGGTAAATACCAAACTTCCTGCCCGCGTCATCATGCCTGGCTCCCGCTGCGTCCGCAGCCTCTGAAAGCGCAGTGTGGCCCTCATAGGCAGGCCCCCAGAAGCATTGAAGGCAGATCTCAAAGATATTTGTCTGCCTGTGTTCACAACAGCATGATTCACAACAGCCAGAAGGTGGAAACAACCCAATACCCATGGATGGATGAATGGCTAACCCAAATGCAGTATATGCACATGACGGAATATTATTCACCCTTGAAAAGGAAAGGGATTCTGATATGTGATAGTAGATCCCCAGTCGTGAGAGGCTTTCCTTTGATTCTGTTTCACTGAAAACATCAGCTGGAAATTCTGAAGGACTCTTTTCTCTAGCAAGTGATGCTTTAGAAATGTAAAATTAAAGACAGAAAGGGGAGTTTATAATGTAGGAAAAGACTAAAGCCAGTAGATGTGCTTGGCATTTTTTTGTGGTATTAGAGCTTAGATTCTCCTGCCTCCCTTGATATTAGTTATGTTTTAAAAGTACATAGAGTACATTTCCTGTTTTCCTTAAGAGTTATTCTCTTTAGGACCTATGATATTTTTGTTTTTGGGTTTCTTCTTTTATTCTTGGCAGAATTTTTTAACCTGTATTTTTCACTTCAACACTTTTTACATTGTATATTTCAGTAAGTTCAGTAACTACATCTAAATCAAATGCTTAATAGTATATGGTATTATACTGTATGTAGTATAATTTTTAAAATAATCTCTCATTGAATATTTAGTTTATTTCCAATGTTCCACTATTATTAACAATACTTCAGTGAACATCCTAGGATAACTATCTCTGGAAACCTGTTCGACTATTTCTTTGACATAAATTCCTAAAAGTGAAAACCTTATGCTTTTTGCATATGTTTCCACATGCTTTTTTAATAGGCTCATAAGAATTTAGATTTGTATTTCTACTTAACCCAAAGAAGGATGTATATCTTTCCTCAGATTCACCAGTTGTTTATATTTTGCCCCATTTGCTCTGTCTTACTGTCTGTCTTGCTACACAGGCCATATCCATATACTATCAGCTGTTCTGGTCATGACCTTTATAGCTTTAAGCATTAACTTTATAACTACATATAACTATAACTTTATAACTACAAGCATGTAAGATGTCATGTCTGTTTCATGTCCTTTAATCTGGAACAGATCCTCAGTCTTTCTTGAAGAATACGGGCCACTATACATAGAATTTCCCTCAATGTGTTGTAGCAGATGTTTGCTCACAAATAGGTTCAGGCTGCCCACTGTGGGCAGGAAACCACAGATCAGCAGGCTCGTCATGTCGAGTTGTCCCACCATTGGGGATACTAACTTCGTTGGTTAACATGGTGTCTGTCGAGTTTCTCCCTGTCAAGGCACTATTTTTCCTTTTGGGATGAAGAGATCATTTGTTGGGAGATCTCTGTGTTAGTCCCTACTTGTGACTTTCTAGGCACGGACTGAATCTCCTATTTCATTTGCATTCCTCAGTCTGTGTATCAGATTTTCTTTAAGCTGGCCCTGAACTCTCCTGATTATAAGGCAATGTTTATGTTTAAATGAGTGATGAATCTTTTTTCCCTATGAATACTAATTCCTTTCTTTCTTTTCTTTTCTTCCTTTTTTTTTTTTTCAAGACAGTCTCACTCTGTTGCCCGGGCTAGAGTGCCATGGCATCAGCCTAGCTCACAGCAACCTCAAACTCCTGGGCTCAAGCAATCCTCCCACATCAGCCTCCCAAGTAGCTGGGACTACAGGCATGCACAAGCACACCCGGCTAATTTTTTCTATTTTTAGTTGTCTGGCTCACTTCTTTTTTATTTTTAGAAGAGACAGGGTCTCCAACTCCTGAGCTCAAGCAGTCCTCCTGCCTTGGCTTCCCAGAGTGCAGGTGTGAGCCACCATGCCTGGCCACAAATACTAATTTCTCAACTGGTAAATTTAAAGATAACAAGGCAAATCTTTATTGAGCAATTCCTACACATGAGGCATTATTCTAAGCAGTTAGCTTGTATGAACTCATTCAATCCCTACAATAACCCGATGAGGTAGGTTCTGTTACTAGACCCCTTTTAGGGATAAAACAGCAGAAGTCTAGAGAGGTAAGTAGCTTGCTCAGGGTCACACAGATGATAAGTAGCTGTGCCAAGATTTGAGCTCAGGCAGTCTGGCTTCAGCATCCTGATGCCTAACCACAAAACAGTGCTGCTTCCTTCTAATTCCTTTAGTACCACTCTCTTCTAACCTGGACCTCTTAGTGGCCTTTCAGAGCAGATTGTAGCTTGGGGTTCTGGCAGTCAGCCCATCCCCAGCACCCCAGAGGAGGCACGCGGCTGTGCCGGGTCCCCCTGCGGCAGTTGGGAGGTTGCAAAGAGCCCGGTCTGTACCCAGCATCGCAACCTGGGTTCAGGTCTCGTGGTAGCCTAGGAGCTCCTAGCCAGGCAAAGGGATGTTGCCGATTAGGCTTTCTAGAACTCTTAGGACCAAGTTCTACCGTCAGGTGTGAGGCAGGAGGCTGCCTCTCTCCGTAGTGTTCTCACTTTGCAGTGTCGTTGTTCCTTTTCATTTTAGATCCCTTCTGGCTTCAGCATGGCTGCCAGCGTCCGGGTGGGGAATGCGCTGGGTGCCGGAAACATCCATCAGGCGAGGACGTCCACCGCGGTGGCTCTGCTGATCACAGGTGCCCGACCCCCTGTCCGAGGCTGGCTCGCCGTACAGTAGGTCCCGACTTGCCGCAGACTCCCTGCTCACTGTTATTTCTTCTGCTGTTTTGTCTCCAGAGCTGTTTGCTGTCACCTTCTGTGTCCTGCTGTTGGGCTGTAAGGATCTTGTGGGGTACATTTTCACTACCGACCAGTGAGTGCTGGGACTTTCTTGCAATGCGAAATCTGTGGCAAAGAAATGGTTAATCCAAGATCAAGGTGCTAGCATAAAATATTTTTTAATTTAAAAAAAATAAAGAAATGGTTAAGTTGGGTAGACGCTATCTTGGGGGCACCCCCTGAGGTGGTTGCATCTTCCAGGGGTGTCTGAGTCATTTATGAGACCAGAACCCAGCGATGCTAGCTGAGAAGAACTGCAGGGACTGACGTATGATCTAAAATGCCAATTTCATGGGCACTGGTGGTGATCTTATGCTTCTGGTGGCCAGAATACTCTCATGTTTTAAAGAAGGAAACTCCCTTTTGGTACAATTGATTACATTTTCAGTTAATTATTTCATTCTCAATGCTAAGGATCATCTTGGCATCTTAAAAACTGTCAGATGCTTGGTTTGTAGCAAGTCGTATAATATATTTGTCAAACTGAACTGAAGTTAAATGAGCTGTCTCAAAATGAGCTGTCTCTTCAATCCAACGAGCAGGATTCTAAAACAAATAGAACAAAATCCAAATGAGCTGTCTCAAAAATTGCATTATCAGTGATTACTGAAGAATTCCTGTGCGAGACAACCCCGTCCCCCCGCCCCGTGCTCTGTGGGTACCCCGCCCCGTGGAGTTTTCCCCTTCATCTGTGAGGCTGCCTCTTACATTCTGGCCATAGAAATACTGTGGGGACACATCTCACCTGGGATGAGCTTATCAGCAATTACAAAAGACACGGTGACTTTTCCCCCACAGCTCAGAAAGCTGGTGGAGGGGACAGATGCACTTTCGTGGTTTATCCTTCAGGTATTTGTCTTTTGACGCCTGATGGTGGGTTGTCATTCTTCAGCCTCAGCCATTGGTTGTGGGAAAATAAGATGTTTATAGATCCCTCATTTCTGAATGAGTGGGGAAAATAGCCATGAGCAGTTGTCACTTCCCTCAAAAGGGATCAGAATTAACTTCCTCAGGAGACCGGGTAGACTGACAGTTCCAGCAGGAACCTGGTGGGAGCTAGTCTGGGTCTGTCCCCTCCCAAAACCACACGGGCACAAACCGTAGCCGTGGTGAGGGCAGCGACCGCACACTCTAAAACCAGCTACTTGTGAGGCAGCAGGGTGGACCCCGTCCTGCAGAACCAGAGAACTAGCGGAAACACCCAGCCCAGTTACAGGGGGAATTACTATAAGCACAGTCATTTTTGAAAAATCTTAAGAGACTAGTTTGTACAACTTTTTGCAAGGAAATTTAAAAACCTAGCAGAAACATAATTTTCCAAGGAAAATAATTTATCAAAATTTACCCTAGAAAAGATAGAAGGTCTAAATAAACTGATTTCCTTATAAAAAATAAGAGAAAATTAATTTAAAATGCCAAAAAGCTCCAATCCTGTAGAGTTCCAAAGGAGAATTTTATAAGATTTTTAAAATGTACATAATTCAAATGGTGTCTAAATTGTTCCAGAGCCCAGAAAAAGGAAAACTTCCACATTGTCTATGAAGGAAATATAACATTGGTACCAAAACTGATAAATGCACTTAAAAAAAAAGAAATCACAGGCCATTGTCACTTATTAATATTGATTTAAAAATCCAAAATAAAATATAAGTAGACAGAATCCAGCAGCACATTTGAAAGAATATATGTTGGTGGAATATAAAAGTGAACATAATATATTAGGTGGAAAAACCAAGGTACAGGGCACCATGCAGAGGATGCTGTGTATGGAATGACAGTATGCAGAAGGGGAAATTGAGAATATGCAGTCACATTTGCAAAAACACTAGGCAAATACAGAAAGTACTGCGAATTGTTACCTGGAGGGGACAGGGATGATAACAGGTTGGCAGGCCCCCTGGCACTGCAGTAAGACTGTTCTCATTATGTTCGTATTGTTTCATTTCTTTTGACCATTTGCATATGTCATATATTCAAAAATAAATAAAATTTGATTAAGGAACTGTATTTATGTCCTTTGGGGTGGGGGAAGGAAGTGATCATCTTGTTCAGTGCTGGATTTCTTATTTATTGATATTAAGTCATTCAACAAATATATATTGCCAGACAGCATTCTAGGTTTATATGTGACCAAACTCCCTCCAAGGTATTGTGAATTTCTTGCTTCCCTGGCTCAGGGGCAGCATTTTTCTCATCTCCCTCATGCACAGGCATTGAATCCAAGTCTCTAGCTTTAGAGGTTAAGGCCCATTTCTAGGAACCAAGGATAAATCTGCAGAATGTGTCCAGGCCGTTATAGCTTGCCAAGCATGGCTCCGTAGAAGAACCTGAACTCTCATTCTGTAGTGCTGCATGCAGACACGCCGAGAGGCACGTTCACGCTTGGCCTATGGAATCATGCTTTAAAAAAAGACAGCAATATAATCCAAACTTTTTTTGAGGGGTACCAAATCATTGAATTTGTTTGTCTACATTGACCAAATGGACTATGCGGTAGTCCCTCCTTGTCCACAGCTTCACTTTCCACAGTTTTAGTTATCCAAGGGCAACCAAGGTAGGAAAATATTAAATGAAAAATTCTAGAAATAAACAATTCATAAGTTTAAAATTACACACCATTCTGAGTAGCAGGATGAAATCTTGCCTTGTCCTCCTCAATCCTGCCCAGGCCGTGAATCATCCCTTTGTCCAGGGTCTCCACACTGCCGCACTGCCCACCTGTAACCATCAGGAGCCCTCTTGGTTATCAGAGCAACCTCACAGAACCTCAGTGCTTGCGTTCCAGGAATCCTTATTTTACTTAATAATGGCCCCAAAACACAAGAGTAGTGATGCTGACATATTGTTACATTTGTTGTATTTTATTGTTAGTTATTGTTAACCTTCCACTATGCCTAATTTATAAATTAAACTTTATCATAAGAAAGTACATATAGGAAAAATACACAGTGTATATAGGGTTCAGTACTACCTACCCAGTTTTAGGCATCCACAGGGGGGAGGTCTTGGAACATATGCCCTGCGGATATAGGGGCTACTGTACATTTTTTGTAAAAGTTGTGAGATACAACGCATGGTTAGTTTCCTCTACAGGCCGGCCAACGGTAGAATTGCCCCTGAATAGGCTGTTGGGTGCAGTGCACATACATGGAAGGCTGCATGGCTCCCTTTTTTCCTTGTGTTTATCTTCTAATCACCATGTGCTTTATTTTCCTAACAGAGACATCATTGATCTGGTGGCTCAGGTGGTTCCCATTTATGCCATATCCCACCTGTTTGAAGCTCTTGCTGTGAGTATTATGCAGTACTGCCCTAAGCACTTTTATGAGCTGTGTATTTCTTCCAATGATGGCAAATTTCAGCTGAGAAGAGGGGCTACGGGAGGTAGCAACACTGAATATTGTTATCATGCTTAGTTTAGAAGGGCACTGCCACATGGCCATGGGTTTTTATGTCAGAGTCCTACAGAATGGTGACTGCTCAGGAGAGGGTGTCTTCCAGAAGCCATGGTGGCACTGATGGGGTGTCATCTGCCTACAGTGCACATGCGGGGGCATTCTGAGGGGAAGTGGCAATCAGAAGGTTGGAGCCATCGTGAATGCCATCGGCTACTATGTGGTTGGTCTCCCCGTCGGGATCGCACTGATGTTTGCGACCAAGCTGGGAGTGATCGGTAAGCCTCACGCTGGCGGGCAGAGCTTAGTCACTCGCCGTGGAGCTTCCCGAGCTCGTCGGTGCCTCGAGAGTGCGGGGGTTCAGGAGGCAGCCTCCGGCTCCGGCCAGGGGCCCAAGGCCACACTGACACACTTGAGCACAGCCAGATGCCGTTTCCGCTCACCTCCCCGTCCTGACTCATCTGCTTCTCATATCTTCAAAGGAGGTGACAGCAGGGCCCACTTGAGAAGCATTTGGAAATGTTCCTTTTGTGGATCCCATTCTGTTCTTTAGTGACAGCCCTTGTATGATGAGACGCTCAAAGTGAGTCTGCAGGTCTGAGACCGCCATACGCTGGCCATTCTGCAGCATTTGGGGTGAGGCAGGGTCACCACTGTGGCAGCTGTGTATGTCCTGGAGCATATTCCCCATGTCGCCCTGGCAACGGGGCAGGACCCACGGAGCGCAGCCAGAGGCGAGTATCCTCGCCACCCTCAGCCCAGTCCACAGCCTGCACCTCCTGCCTGGCACGGCCTTCTTAGCCGTGTCTCGTGGGTCTCCACAGGGCCTGGGGCGGTGCACTTCATCACCTTACTGCACTGGGAAGAACGAACTTGATCCACAGGATGTGAAATTACCAGAGCTAATCTTTTTTTTAAAAGTAGGGAAATAATCCTTCAGGAAGAGTAGGTCTAAAAAAAAAAAAAAAAGTAGGGAAATAAATGACTGCCCAGCTTTGATTTCTAAAATAATAATCTGGAATGCATTGACAGTTAATAAATGATTATATTAAAAATTGGACATTATCTTTGGAGTGAAGGAGTGACCAACTTAAGCATGGTTTGTTTTAATCCATTGGGACTTGGCAGGCTCACAGGTGGTGAGAAAACTGATACCTAGAGGGCACTTGCAGTTCAGTATGTTCCATTATGTTGCACATCTTTCTCAATTTCAATAATATTTTAATTAAAAATACAGGAGTTGTTCGAAGAGTTGAATGGCCAATGCAGAGTTCTTTGGGCTTGCATTATGGTGCAGAAAATTATTTATCTGAGTTTCTGGTATTGTTCATATTTTGGATTTACCAGTGGCATAGCTAATGGAAATATTAGAGGAATCTACCTTATTTTTATTTTTTTAAGTAATGTATTTTATTTAATATAATATATTTAAGTTATCATTGCAACATGCAATCAGTATAAAATATTAAGGAGATATTTTACATTACTTTTTAAAATATTACCTCTTATTAGTTTAAATTGACAAATCATAATTACATACATGCATTTATTTATTTATTTATTTTGAGACAGAGTGTCACTCTGTTGCCCAGGCTAGAGTGCTGTGGCATCAGCCTAGCTCACAACAACCTCAAATTCGTGGGCTCAAGCAATCCTTTTGCCTCAGCCTCCCAGAGCTGGGACTACAGGTATGCACCACCATGCCTGGCTAGTTGGCCAATTAATTTTATTTCTATTTTTAGTAGAGATGGAGTCTCACTCTTGCTCAGGCTGGTTTCAAACTCCTGACCTTGAGTGATCCTCCTGCCTTGGCCTCCCAGAGTGCTAGGCATGAGCCACCTCGCCTGGCCAATTACATACATTTATGAGGTACATTGTAGTGTTTTGACATATGTATACTATGTGGAATGATCATATCAATCTAATTAACATATCTATCACCTTGTTTATTTTTTATGATGAGGCATTTGAAATTTACTTAGTTGATTTGAAATATGTTATATTTCAATATATTAATACAGTATATTGACAGTAGTCATGCTGCCATGCCACTCAAAACTTATTCTTCCTGATTGTCTGAAACTTTGTACCTGAACAAATCCCCATTTCCCTGCCCCCAGCCTCTGGTAACCATCATTCTACTCTCTACTCCTGTGAATTCAGTGTTTTTAGAAGAGGAATCTACTTTATAAATCCAAGCTGGGTGCAGTGGCTCACACCTGTAATGCTAGCACTTTGGGAGGCTGAGGTGGGAGGATCAGTTGAGGCCAGGAGTTCGAGATCAGCCTGGGCAATAGCAAGACCCACTCTCTATAAAAAATAAGAAAAATCAGCTGGGCGTGGCGACATGTGCCTGGAGCCCAGCTACTGGGGAGGCTGAGGCAGGAGGATCATGTGAGCCCAGGAGTGTGAGGTTGTAGTGAGCTATGATGATGGCACTGCACTCTACCAAAAAAAAAATATATATATATGTGTATATATATATATATATGTATATGTATGTGTGTGTGTGTGTGTGTGTGTGTGTATAAATCCATCTGTATCCCAAGGGCTGTCCTTGGCTCATTCATTTAACAAAAGCATACCTACTGTGTGCAAAGTAGAGGAAGTTGAGAATCACCTAAAAGAAATGTTGGGGGCCCTGAGGAGAGGAGGGCCCTGTGAGAACACTGCAGTCAATCCCTCCACCCACATCTTAGAAGAAAGTGTGGTGTGTACTGATTTTCAATACTGTGTGTCCTCTGGCAGGGCGTGCAGTATACCTACATGTGTCCAGGAGAGCGCCAGAAGTTTGCAAGTTCTCAGGAGCAACCTCAGCACATCATAATGGCCATCAGAATTCCTGGGAGGCTTTTCAAATATGTAAATTCCTGGGCCTCACCCAGAGGATTCTAATAATCATTCTGTTTGGGGTTCCTAGGTTGAGTCAAACAGAAATGTTTTAAATGATGTATGGTGAAATTAATGGAAATCTAATTCATGACTTTCAAATTATAGCTGGAGGTAGCTGGCTATGTTATGTTTAAGATGGTTAGGGTGAGCTTGTAATCTGTATGTACTGGGAACACTAGATTTGAAGAGGAAGCCAGTGGTTTGCTTTTACTAATTCTTCATAGGAACAGCAGGTAGCACTAACTTTGCTATTCCAAAGAGTGGGCTGATCATATCTGAAGACTGTGATATGAGGGTGATTGGTACCAAGAAGCAGAGCTGTGAGCTGCACTGAGCTGCACTAATGACAATGATTCTGTCATTAGTTCACTGTTGACAAAAAAACCCTCATCCTTTGGGATCTCCCTCTGCTCCGTGTGTACACTAGTAGGGGCTGTATAGTGCTTTGAGACCCGTTCCCACTCAGACTTCCCCTGTTCTCCGATCAGCTCTAGGTTTATGACCCTGCCCTGGGAGCTCCCCCCAAAGTCTGTGCCAGAAGCAAGTTAGGTGGGAAGTCCTGCAGGCTGGTCTGAGGGAGGGGCGTCATTACTCTGTGTCTAGTGAGTTCTGCTTTATCAAAAAAAGTTAGTCTCCTTTTTTGAGGAAAATAGGGTGGAAGTATTTTGTCCTGGGAAATTTTATTTCCTTGTAACTGGCACTTTTCTTAATATCCAAGTATTATAATCACTAAGCCCCAAATAGCATCTGAACGTTTATTCTGACATTTTGAGCCAAAAGAGGTGGCTCCTCAGGGTGTGGCCTCAGGGAGCACTGGGCCTTTCAGAACCTTCTGGAAACCCAAGGAAAGAGCAGGACAGAGGTCTCTGGCCTACAGTGGCTCTACCTCAGCCATGAAAGATTTCCAGGGTGGCCGATGGGAGTGAGATAGGAGAAACATGCTCCCCAGGGGTGGCCTGTTTTCCGAATTAACCTGTATTAAATATTTCCATTTCCAGGTCTGTGGTCAGGGATCATCATCTGTGTGGTCTCTCAAGCTGTGTGTTTTCTAGGCTTTATTGTTCGGCTAAATTGGGAAAAAGCCTGTCAACAGGTAAGTGCTCATTGCTGTCTCAGCAAAGGCTCCTCCCCTAGAACACAAACCGGATCCCACTGGATCTTTCCTTTTGGAAGATTCTTCTCCCTTTTTCTTCATTCTTTTATCCAAATGCTGTTCTTGTTGTTGTTGTAACTAAACTTAATTCAGATGTGCTAGCCGGGCGACCTGGGCTTTGTGCACTGCCCCTTGTTTATTCACTGACCAGAAAGGCGGGAGCCCCCTCTTCCCCGGGGGGCCGTGCCACGCTGCCGCCCTGTGCAGGAGAAGCCGATGTCAGGATGAGAATGGGAACTGGAGAAAGGTGGCATGCATCAAATTCATCCTGTTTTTTTTTTTTTTTTTTTTTTTTTTTTGAGACAGAGTCTCACTTGTTGCCCAGGCTAGAGTGAGTGCTGTGGCGTCAGCCTAGCTCACAGCAACCTCAAACTCCTGGGCTCTAGCGATCCTACTGCCTCAGCCTCCCAAGTAGCTGGGACTACAGGCATGCGCCACCATGCCCGGCTAATTTTTTCTATATATATTAGTTGGCCAATTAATTTCTTTCTATTTATAGTAGAGACGAGGTCTTGCTCTTGATCAGGCTGGTTTCGAACTCCTGACCTTGAGCAATCCGCCCATCTCGGCCTCCCAGAGAGCTAGGATTACAGGCGTGAGTCACCGCGCCTGGCCCATCCTGTTTTTTATAATCCCAAAATATTTCATTAAGATACTTGTGTGCAACCTTCTTTTCCGCTTTTTAGGGTCAATGGGGGTCTAGTAAGAAGTGGTAGAAAAAGGAGGTGAAATAAAAATAGAGAATTCTAGGCCGGGCGCGGTGGCTCACGCCTGTAATCCTAGCACTTTGGGAGGCCGAGGGGGCGGATTGCTCGAGGTCAGGAGTTCGAAACCAGCCTGAGCGAGACCCTGTCTCTACCAAAAATAGAAATAAATTAATTGACCAACTAAAAATATATATACAAAAAATTAGCCGGGCATGGTGGCACATGCCTGTAGTCCCAGCTACTCGGGAGGCTGAGGCAGGATTGCTTATGTCCCAGAGTTTGAGGTTGCAGTGAGCTATTATTGGGTCTTTTCATTCCTTCCCACCGGGGCAAAAAAAAAAAAAAGGTTTCCAAAAAAAAAAAAAAAATAGAGAATTCTAAATGGTCTTGGTGCCTGTTTCCCTCACCCCCCACTCCAAATGGCCTCACAGTCTCTATGAAAGGTGGTTCCATACCCCCGAACTAGAGAAGCTTCGATTGTACATGCCAATTCAGGAAAATGGCTTGGCTTTTCCTAAACTGGGTGGTCATGTGAAACAGCTCATTAACACTAATTTCATTTTCATTAGTTTGAAACTGTGAAACAGTTCATAACACTAGTTTCATTTTCTAGGCTCAGGTACATGCCAATTTGAAAGTAAATGTGGCTCAGAATGGGAGCTCAGCTCTCTCTCCGGATGCCCTGCACCCAGGTAAGAAGGAACTCCTTGCTCGCAGCCAGGCCTGTCCAGGTGGGACTGTAGGGGCCATCTGTGAGACACAGCTGGATTTGCTGCTGTGAGCTCCCACTTAAATAGGGCAATAATGTTTCAGAGACAAATGGTAAAGTCAAGTAACACCCAGTCCCGGGTAAATGGACTTCAAGTTTGTTTGCTTTAATCCCACACACTAGCAACTGCTGTGGATGACTACAGGGTCCCACTTCCTCTGCTAATTTGTGGAACTTCTGCAAGCATTCTGCAGGCGTTTATAACACTTGGCGATTCCGTGCTTTGACCGCATCTTGGAAACTGACATTTGTGAGTTCGTTTTCATGAGGTCCCTGCTGTTCATCAGGCAGACACCTGTGCACTTTAAACAGGTTATTGTTTGGACCATTACATATGATGACCATCATACAAATGTGGTTATATTTTTGTTTTCTTTCTTTTTTTTTTGCAAGCAACCAAAGTGCAAAGGTTTATTAAAGCATACTAGCTTCCAGAGAAGAAATGGGTCAACCCATGAGTGGAAGAGACCTATTTTTGTTTCTGTCAATTGAGCAATTCCCCTGTGTCTCGGCCCTTTAGGCAGTTGGTCCTGCGCTCACATAAGCCCTCGCTCCTTTGCGGCTCAAGTCCTCCGGCCTCGCAGATGGCTGCATTGCAGCAGCTCTGCCGCTTCTGCCAGGCCCCCTCGTCTAGGCTCCTGTGCTGTATGTCTGGGTAGCTTTGACTATGTTCCAGACTTTATATTTGAAAACTGTTTGTAATTTTCGGCATGAAACAATGTTCAGAGAGGCCTCTATCTTCAGAGAGGGTTTTCTTTTGATTCTGTGGGATGCTTAGAGTTCCTACCGGTCTGGGGCAGTTTCGTAAGTGGAGGTTTCTGGCTCGGCCGGCTGACCCGAAGGTGTGCTATGGCCAGTGTGAGGCCGGGTTTACTTCTGCTTCATTCTTAATTCTTCGATGCCCCCTTCAGGCTTCCAACCCCAAATACAGAGAGGCCTACCGGGGCCCTACCCTCGGTCGGTACCGGGGCCCCCAGCAGCCTGCTCAGCTTCTCAGCCCAAGGGGCCAGGTGGAGTGCTCAGGGCCAGATGGCCCCCGAGGCTGGGCTTGCCCTCTGGTCTCTAGCGCCCCCCGATCCTGCCCTGGGGACTCCTCACTTCTCTTTAGCTCTCTGATGCCTTCAAGATGATATTTTCAATTTGTTTTATTCGGATTTTATAATAATCTTCAGAGGAAGGGTTGGTCCAAGTTTGCTACCATCAGTGACAGTTTCCCTGATTTGTGGAATTGGGACAATAATGTCACTTACCTCATACTATTGTTGTGAGGGTCAAATAGTGCTGAGAACAGCCTCGCTGACACCCGGTAAGCCTTTGTTAGGTGTGAGCTGGTATCATTCTGTTCACAGTGATTTTCTCTCAGAACGCTCATGACATTGTACCATTCCTAACATCCATGTGTGCTTATTAAGAAGTTGGATGCCAATCTTACTCCTGTGCCGTTACGTAATCTACCTTTTGTTTTCTCTGGAGGAGCTGTTAGGATATTTTCCTGTTATTATTCTTAATGTCCTGAAGTGTCACGAGACTCAGCCTAGGTGTGACTCAGTCTCCGGCTTGGCCCTTCCATGTGGAGTCACGGCTTTCTTTGGTTCTGTGAATAACTATGAATTATTTCTGAGGTTACCCCCCGTCTATTTACTTTATCCTCTTTCTGAAATGATTATTAGATGGGTGTTGGCCCCTTGAAAACTTCCCCTATGAATCCTCACTGAGAGAGCTACCCTATTTCTCTAGCTCTTGGGAGCGCTCCCTGCAGCACCCAAGCCAACAACAGCAGGATCACCGTGTGAGGGACTGAGATAGGATTCCTTTAGCCATTGCAGCAAGCTGCTTCCTCAACTCACTTTCTTCCAACTGTTACCCTTCATACAGATGCAAAAAAATTCCTTTAAGCTGATAACTAAATTCCTTCTTCCTCCCAGGGGGCCCTGAAGACCAAGAAGGAATTTTAATGGAAGATGTTGGGAAAAAAGGTCAGACTCAGTTGGATCAGCAGGCGCACCAAGAAGAGCCTTTGCCCGCCTGTCCAAAGGGCAGCACTAGGCTGTCCTGGACGCAGCTGGGGCTGCAGCGCGGGCTCCTGCTCCTGGGGGTTATTTTAGTCTTGCTGGTGGGCATTTTCGTGAGATTATATGTCAGAATTCAGTGATGCGGCAAGAGGGAGAGAAAGCCATGTGACACTTTTGAGCTTACAAAGAGCCTTAGCAGTGACAATTCATGTTCAGCCAATGTAATTGAGCTGTGCCCATGGACTTCAAGAATTAGGAATTTAAAAATATATTTTTCTAATGAAGAAGAAAAGAAGCTAAGGTAAAACTATATTATGGTCAAAGACAATGTCTGAAGGATGGCGTTTGGGTAGTAATTCATCTACCACTGTGTCTACCAAGGACCGCCGAATTACTGACCACACTGACCTATGGCTTTGGTATTGCTTTGCTCCCTGTTTGTTTTTAGACACAAACCCATAAACTAAGTGCTTAAGAATTCTTACTGTCTGAATTAAAATATATTTTACAATATAGCTTTCCTTGTGCCTTATTATTATTCACTGGGCAAAGAGCGTTGGTCAGTCTTCACGTGGGGGCCGGCTCCAGGCCTGTGGCTGGGAAAGCTGGGAAGCCTCTGCTCCCAGGGCTGCGGAGACAAGCCCGGGTGGGTGTGCGAGGGTGTCGGAGGACAAAGCGCTAACAGACTGAATATGGCCCTAATTCAGTGAGCCTTCCCGGGGCTAGCTACACACCGTCCGCTCAGCAAGCCTCAGTACACGGACGTGTGCTCAGTGCTGTGAAGGCTGATCATACCAAATGGGTCGCCCTTGTTCACTCAACGAAAACAGAGTCCAGAAGCAGGGGTGGGGCCCTCAGGACACATAACATTGCTCTAAACGGGAAAGAGGAAATTCTCTGCAAGCTTGTTTGGTGCTGAAACTGCCTGTTGTAACCTGAGACCAGTTTTATCTACGCTGAAATAATGAGGCAACTCTAGGGTTCTCACCAGCTGGAGCTCCCAAGAACTTTACTAGTACCATCAACTTTCTCCAAGAGCCAATACTAACACTTTTTTTAAATAAAATCTCCAACCTTCATTTTGTTCTTCAGGCATACCCAAAGACCTGCGTGTATGTGCTGAATTGCAATCTTCTACACAAACAGAACGTTAAATTTAGATGCTGGGCTCCACAGAAATTTATTTTAACTGGAACTGCTAGGACGGATGCAATGCCCTAGGCACGGCCTTTGCCTTGAAATAATAAAACAGAAAAGCTGACTGCTGTGAGGAAAAAAACACCCAATAGCTGATTTTGGTCGAGGCCACCTTAAGGAATTTCCACCCTCAGCGCTTCCCCGTGGGTCTGTAAATTGAAGCTCAATCTCCAGGGAAGCAGATAAAGGCTTGAGTGGGCTGCTCCTGGCCCTCAAGGTTGATCCCGGGGCAGGAGGCAACCGCAGCCGGCCCTCCAGCTCTGTGCCTTCCTCCCCGGCCCTAGCCTTCAGAGGTTTCTCCCACTCCCTGCCCTTCCCCTTGCCCGGTCGGGCCCAGGGATAACGAGGTTTCTTCAACCACTGACCCCAAATAGCTGCAGGCCAGCGGCCCAGCCGGGAAAGCCCCCCCGGAGGAAACGCCTGAACCCCCAAACCAGGCCAGGCACGGGAAACGCCGCGGAAGCGCCGGCCCAGTGCTCGGCGGTGCGGAGGTCGAAGTGCTGACCCCGCCGTCCCGCCCACCCGCGCATCTCGCCCCTCCGGCCCACGACCCACGACGCCCCCCTCCGAGCCCGCGTGCCGCGGCGGCGCCAGCCCCCGCCCCGCCCTCCCGCATTCGGGCCTGCGGCGCAGCCCCCGCCGCCGCGGTTGGACGGCGGCGGGCTGGGGCGGTCGCGGGCCTGGCGGTCGCGGCCTGGGCGCCGCCTCCCTCCGCCTGCCGCCCCCGCGCTCGGGCCGCAGCCCTCCGCCGCATGGAGCTCGCCGCCGCCCGCTCGCGCCCGCGCCGCCGCCCCGCAGCCCCCGCGCGGCCGCGCCCCCGCCTGGCTGGCCGGCCTGCGGCGCCTGCGGGCGCGCTGCCCCCGACTTCTGGCGCGAGGCGACCGAGCTGGCGGCGCTCGCGGGCCCCGTGGTGAGTGCGCGCCGGCGTCCCGCCGGGCGGCCGGTGGGCGGGCGCGCCGGGCGCCAATCGCTCCCCTCTGTTCCCTCGCAGTTCCTCGCGCAGCTCATGATCTTCCTCATCAGCCTGGTCAGCTCCGTGTTCTGCGGACACCTGGGCGAGGTGGAGCTGGACGCCGTCACGCTCGCCGTCACGGTAGGTGCGGGCGTCCTCCGTCGGGCCGGGCTCGCCGCCCGCCCGCCCGCGCCTTGCTCGCCGCCCGCCGCCGCGCCTTGCTCGCCGCCTTGCTCGCCGCCCGCCCGCCCTTGCCCGCGCCCGCCCCCGCCTTGCTCGCCGCCCGCCCGCCGCCCGCCCTTGCTCGCCGCCCGCCGCCCCGCCGCGCCTTGCTCGCCGCCGCCCGCGCTTGCTCGCCGCCCGCCCCGCGCCTGGCCGCCGCCCCGCCCGCCGCCCCCCGCCGCCCGCCTTGCCGCGCCCGCCCGCGCCTTGCCCCCGCCGCCGCCGCGCCTTGCTCGCCCGCCCGCCGCGCCTTGCTCGACCGCCGCCGCCCGGCCGCCGTGCGGGGCGGCCCGAGGAGCGCGGGAAGCGGGCGCTGCGAGCCCAGGGCGCCAGCTGGCGTGCCCCGCCGCAGCTTGCGGAGCCCAGAGAACGGCTCTGTCTTCTGCCGGGAATTAAACCAACAGGCGTGTGGCTGGCTGGTTTGCCATTAGCCTGTTAGCGCAGTGCGCGTGGTCGGACCGTCCCGCCCTGTGGCGAGTCTCTCCCTCCTGCGGGATCTGAAGTCGCACCTCCTTTGAAGTCCTTTGTCCCTGGGTTTTTGTTGCCGATGCAGTGGATAGTTGCTGCTGCTTGCATTTCATCCGGCCTTCAAAGAAGGGGGGGAATGCTGTCTTGCTCTCCCCAGTCTCGCAGGCGTCCTGCCGTGCTGCGAGGGGCGCCCGAGGCGCAGGGCGCAGGGGTTGCTCGTTCAGCTTTAGGTAGAGGGTAGAGAAGACCTTGCTCCATGGAACAGACGTTTATTTACAGGCCTGTTATTTGGCGAACTAATTTGGGTTAAGGGGCATTTCTGCTTCCTTTGAAAGCTTATGTTGGGCCTCTAGGAAGAGTCAAAAAGGAAGAGGGGATTTACGTGCGGCGGCTGCGGTCCCCCAGGAAAGGTGAGATGGCGTCTGCGGTGCGCACTGCGCTCCCAGTCTCCGTGCGTCGACAGGCGCGAGACTTGCGGGGACATTTCCCGCCGTTTCCTTGCAGGGCCCAGGATTGGGGTCCGCCTTTTCCGGTCACTGTTCTCTGCCCTTACAGCCCACTGTGTAGATGGGCCTGCACTCTGCCCTGCTGACATGTCATGGCCAGTCAGCGACTTCGCTCACCGAAGACCCTGGCACCTCACCCTGTCCTCTCCCTCTCTGGGCATCGTCCTGGGGCTGTAGGCTCGGCCTCGCTGCATCTCACTGACTTCCAGGACCCCCAGAATCCACTTCAGGCCCCACACCCTACACATTTTTGTTCTTCAGTGTGGACTCAACATCAGAAGCTTTAAGCTTTACTTTCCAAGTCACTCCTCAGCCCTCTGTCCCTGGAGCCCTGTCAGGTCCCCACGTCCATCCTACCTGCCCTTGATCTTGTGGCGTTGTCCCAGGCTGTGACTGCTCATCTTTTCTCACCCTTGCAGTCCTGCCTGGGCCCTCTCCCCGAACCCTGAGCCAAACGGTTAGCCCCGACCTCCTCTCGCCTGCCCTTCCTCATGCCTGCCCTTCCTCACGCCACCCCAGACCTGGGCATCCTCCTTTTCCAGATCGGCCTTCCTCCTGGGCTCTGGAACCTCCCTGTCTCTCCTTTTTTGTAAAAGCATCTCCCTGTACCCGTCTCCTCCTTGCCCAGCCCGGCTCTGGCTCTTTTCCTCCCATGCTCTAGTCCTGCGGTCCCCAACCCCGGGCTGGTCTGTGGCCTGGTCTGTCAGGAACCGGGCACACATCGCCGCCTGGGCTCTGCCCCCAACCCCATCTGTGGAAATACTGCCTTCCAAGAAACCAGTCCCTGGTGCCAAAAAGGTTGGGGACTGCTGCTCTAGCCCCGTCACACCTGCGTTTCCTTGTCCCCCTTGCAGTCATGCCTCTGTTCCCCACCGCTCCACTTAACCCACTCTGGGAAAAGCTGTCAGGGGCCCCGCCTGCCTCTTCGCCGTTTCCAGAGGACTTGCCCTTGCCTGGCTGGCTCTGTGGCCCCTCCTCACTGGGGGCTCTGCCACTCTGGCATTCCGTCCCTAGACCCCCAGCCCTCCTCGGCTGTCCTGCCACCTCTGTGATAGTTGCGCCCTCCTTTGCCTTCTGTCTTAAATGTCCCGCATTTGTTGGCATCTCCCAAATTTGAGTCTCCACCCTTGACCTTGCGGGTGTGTCAGCTAGAACGTGCCCGGGTTGCTGGGACTCCGAGTGTTTGAAGCTTCTCCCCGGGTGTCCCCTAGACACTGCCCTGTTTTTAATACCCCAGGTCTCCATCAGTCAGCAAGCCCTGCTAGCTTTATTTCCCACATTCCTTAAATCCACTCCCTGACTCGGGGCTGGGTCCTGCCCTCCTCGCTTGATTCAGTAGCCGGAGCCCGAGTCCCGTGCCCACGCCGCGCCGTGCCGCGTTCTGTCCCGCTCGTCTGCGAGCTCGTACTCACTTTTGCCAAGCTTGGTTCCTCGCACAGATCTGGCCCAACTAAATATTTCAGAGAAACATCTAGCTCAGATATGCTGCCGTCCAAGCCAGCTCTCACCTGCCGTCTCCTGATTTTGTCTTTTTTCCTGTCCTCCATCCCTGCGCCTGTGCACTTTTCTACTCCGCACACACTGAGGGCTTGAAACACTAGGGTTATGTATTTGCATAGAGTCCCCTGACACTCCTTTCATTTGCTTTAGTAAAATTATTTGAAAATATATTTTGGGTGAAAAACTAAGACTTTATATGTGGTTTGTGGCGATTTCCTTTCCTCTTTCTGTTCCCCTCCTAAATCACCCAGTGATAAGAGGGTAAAAAAGATTTCCTAGTTTTTGATGTAAAAATAATAGGAATGGAATAAAAACAGATCCAAAATGTTACAGAAAGGCCTGAAGACGGTCTGTGGGAAGGACGGTGTGCTGTGACCACAGGGATCTCTGTGGGCAAGGCTGGAGATAAGGGGCTGTGTGCTCCTCCGCCTTCGGCAATGGCTGGTGATACCATACTGATATGTATTGATACACACTTCTAATCAGCCAAGTTGTAACTAACTGCTAGGAAAACAATGGACTCAACTTTAAGATACCCTTATTTATGAAAGCCAGATACATTTACATTTTTACCTTGTGAAAAATTAAAGAGGGTATGGAAAGATTTATAAAAGTGTCTGTTTTTTAAATGAAATAAATTTTTTTTTGAGACAGAGTCTCACTCTGTTGCCTGGGCTAGAGTGCCGTGGCGTCAGCCTCGCTCACAGCAACCTCAAACTCCTGGGCTCAGGTGATCCTTCCCCCTCAGTCTCTTGAGTAGCTGGGACCACAGGCATGCACCACCATGCCTGATTAATTTTTTTTTCTGTATATTTTTAGTTGTCCAGTTAATTTCTTTCTACTTTTGGTGGAGATGGGGTCTCACTCTTGCTCATGCTGGTTTCAAACTCCTGACCTTGAGCGATCCTCCCGCCTCGGCCTCCCAGAGTGCTAGGATCACAGGCATGTGCCACCATGCCTGGCCTGAAAGAACATTTATTTATATTCTACCGTGATCCACAAAGCATTTGAACTAGTTTACAAAAATACATTCACTATCGGAGGATAAATAGATAGCTGAAATAGAATTGGGCCAAAGAAACCTGGGTGGGAAGAGGGGGCCGGGGGTAAGGTCAGCATCAGATAGGCTGCAGGTTTACTCTGCGCTCCGCTTGCATAATTCTCCACGTGCTTCAGATTTTATCAAGCCATTTATGCAGGGGAAGGGCACCCTTTCCTGATTCTGAGGGACAGAGAGATCTCTCCTCTCCATTCTCATAAAGCAAACACCAGGATCAGAACACAGTGTTCTGGACGACTTGCCATGAGAGAGAGACAGTAGCAGTTTTTGTGCCATCTTTATCATAATGTCATCTATTGTGAGCCAGAGATCTAATGTCAGAGCTCAGTTTGGTAAAAGTGTGTGACAGCCAAAGCAGTGGAGTCCAAGGTCATGGCTCTCTGGCGAGCTGAAGATAACCTGTGAGTTATAGAGGAAGTATAACATCGTAAACCAACCAAAGTCATTCTGCTTACAAAAAAAAAAAAAGACTTGTTTATGACTGACTTTTGGGGTTTTCCCCAAACTGATCATTTTTATTTATTTATTTAATGTCTTTAAATAGATGCGTAATAACACAGTGAAGCTTTGAACATAGTGATCGGATCAGGGTACTTAGCATATCCATCGTCTCCAACATTTATCATTTCTTTGTGCTGGGAACATTCATCCTCCTCCTCCTAGCTATTTGAAACTGTGTTATTGTTAGCTGTGTTCATCCCACAGTGGTGTAGAGCACTGGAACTGATTCCTCCTGTCTAGCTGTGGTTTCATGTCCTCTAACAGATCTTTTGTTAGCTCTCCCTTCCCCCTACCCGTGTGACTTTTTTTTATAAAAGAGAACTTTCCAGGGATTGACGCACTTCACCTTTCTCCTCCTGGAAGGCTAAGATGTTCTGGGAGCTTTAGTCATGCCACGCCCCTGTCGTGGAGTTCCGCGTTGTGGTGTGGCACATCTCAGCCGGGTCCTCGTCACACCCCTTCCCGTGGGGTTGCATTTAGATGGAGGCCTTTGCCTTGTGGGGTAACTGCTGGGTGTCCGGTGTGTGACCTGCTCCTTCCTGGGGCTGGGGTGCTTTACCAGGCCGGAGTCTTGTCAGTGAGAAGCTGACCCTCCTGGGGTTCCCATCGCTATTAACTGTGAGACCCAGGGCAAAAATGAGGGTTTTTGGGAACCCTCGCCCTTGGTTGTGCATGTGCCCCTGGTTGTCGGGGCACTAGGTGAAGTCTGGTCAAGAGGGTGACACAAAAATACTCCCTTTCCTCACTGGAGGACCAGAGCCTGGGATCTGGAGCCAGACTTCCCAGCTTCAGGTCAAGTGATGTAAACTCTCTGACTCAGGTCACCAAACCGTGGGGAGAGTGGTCATACCATGTACAGGAAGGGTTTAGGACGGTGCCCAGTGCACAGTGCATGCTCAGTTAATGTTTCTGTTATTATTATTAAATGTGTCCTACTGGCAGGTCAGGGGCAGCCTTTTAGATATATATTAATCACAACTTAAAAAAAATTTTTTGAAACAGGGTGTTGCTCTCTTGCCTGGGCTAGAGTGCAGTGGTATGATCATAGCTCACAGCAACCTCAAACTCCTGGGTTCAAGTGATCCTCCTGCCTCAGCCTCCCAAATAGCCGGGACTATAGGCATGCATCACCATGCCTCAATAACTTAAAAAAAATGTTTTTTGTAGAGACAGGGTATTGCTATCTTGCTGGTCCCAAGCTCCTGGCCTCAAGTGGTCTTCCTGCCTCAACCTCCCAAAATGCTAGGCTTACAGGCATGAGCCCCTGCACCCAGCACAACTTAACTTTCAAATATAGAAATTGTAACATGCTGTGCTGTTAAAAAAAACTAGTTTTTAAGTTTCCCCAGTGGTTATAGTTATTTAGTTAGAAGGTACAGTTTTCTTCAATAATCAATGAGGATGGATGTGGACACCCATTTGATCTGAAACATGGAGCCTTAAGCATACAGTTGTGGCTTGCTCTTTGTGGACAAGCTTGTCTGAGTTCCTTTGTGTAAATGGAGCCACCTGGCAGTGACACTTGTTCCCTGAGCATCTGCCGCACCAGGGCTGTTGCTTCCCAACAGGTGGTGAACGTTATTGGGATTGCAGTTGGAACTGGCTTAGCCTCAGCTTGTGACACACTGATGTCTCAGGTAAGGACCGCCCTCCCCCATGAGCCTTTATCTGACAATCACCTTTCATAATAGACACTGTCTAGGAGACTATCCACTCTTGGGTTTTGTTGCCTTTTATTTGTCAAGCACAGGTGGTCCCTGACAGATTTTTTGACTTTACCAAGGTGCCAAAGCAATATGTATTCAGTAGAAACCAGATTTCAAACCCCCATACAGCCAAGATGTTTTTTACTTTCAGTTCAGTATTCAGTAAATCACATGATATGTTCAACACTTTATTATAAAATAGGCGTTATGTGAGATGATTTTGCCCAACTGTAGGCTAATGTAAGTATTGCTCATGTGTTTAAGGTAGGCCAGGCTAAGCTATGGTGTTTGGAAGTTTAGGTGTATTAAGTACATTTTTGGTTCATGATATTTCCAACTTACAATCAGGAGGTAGCTCCAAGTGTAAGTTGAGGAGGATCTTTTTTTTTAAATTTATTTTTATTTTTTTTTAGAGGTGGGATCTCGCTATGTTGCCCAGGCTGGACTGGAACTCCTGGGCTCAAGCGATCCTCCCGCCTCGGCCAGCTGAGTAGCTGGGACTCCGGCGCGTGCACCTGTACAGTGCTGCCAAGGACTGCACCTACGAGCAGACCTAGCTCACTGTTCTGCCGTCGGGTCTCACGTGCTCAAGGGAGTGCAGTCCCTGCTCCTCCCTGGCTGCCCTCCTCCAGCCTAAAGCTCTCCTCCCTGACCCACTGCCCTCCTCCCCGGCCCTCCCCCTTGGAGACCAGCTTCTGACAGTGTTCTCTGCACCCCTGGGCCTGACCCCACTCTCCACTCAGCCCCCACCGATGTCCATTCCTGCCCGCCCCCTGGGCCTGGTGCCTTCCAGGCCTCTCATGATGAGATTCTCAGGTGAGCGCTTGGCCGCCCCCAGTTTGCAAAGCTCTCCCTTGCCCGCCAACAGTGGCAGACCCTCCCTGGCTGCCCTTCTCAGTCTGCAGTGTGGGATTTTCCTCTCTGCACTCCTGAGGGGGCCAGCCCCCCACACGCCCCATGCCCTCGCATTCCACCCCGCGCACCCTCTCCTGTAGCTTCTGCCCCCGAGCCATGTGGAAAACTCTTTCGAGCTCTGCTGCCAGCATTCTGCACGGTGACAGTCCCAGTTCCTGGGAGCAGGGCGTGTCCAGGACACGTGTCGAGTGCCACAGGGGCCAGCTGGCTCAGTGGCTGCCCTGGCTCAGAGGCTCCCGCGCCGTCAGCTGTGGCTGGGCGGTGGACACCGGGGCGGAGGGGCACGGGGCTGCCGGCCGGGCGCAAGGGGGGGCACCCAGGAGTGCCCAAGGGGGGGCACCCACTTCTGGGCACACTGCCAGCGTTGTGTTTGTTTTCCCAAGTCCTTTGGAGGTAAGAACCTAAAGCGTGTGGGGGTCATACTGCAAAGAGGAGTCCTCATCTTGGCGCTGTGCTGCTTTCCCTGCTGGGCCGTCTTCATCAACACGGAGCGCATCCTCCTGCTCTTAAAACAAGACCCGGAAGTCTCCAGGTCAGGTCTCCAATTTCAGAGTGTAGGTTAGGAGTAAGTGGCTGTCTGGTCGGTGGATCTGTGTGGAGATTTTCAGCGATTACCTGGTCTGAGCCCTTTCAGAAACGGAAGCAGAGACTGTGGGCCACAGAGTCCTCGGGCTGCAGATGGTGCCGGACCCAGTGTGCCCGGGCCAGGACCAGGGGGTCCTGCACCCTTTCCTGCGTGAGGTCCCTCCATTTTGGTGTCTTGCGAGCCCACGAACACTTTCCCCTGACAGAGTAGAACAGAATAGCAGTGTAAGCGCCTTCACTTAGTTTTCACAGTTTTTTTTCTCTTAACCTACAATTCCATTGTGTTCTCGCATTGTTCTGAGGGTGCATGGTCCTTTCTAGAAGATAGTCTTGCCCACTAATGAAGTAGCACTGATGCTCTCAGAAGGTTTCTGAATTTTGCCCATTTTAGTTCATTTTTCTGTGTTCATTCCACCTTCTATGCTAATAATGAGCTGAAAAATGTGAAGTGGTCAGGCTTTCCCTTAGAAAGTAGATGTTTATCGGGCTTAATGTCATGTTGATGTAGCTTGCAGAAAAACACTTAAAATTGTTCTTAAATTTCTCCCATATAAATTATTTTTAATTTTAATTTTTAGAAAATACGTGATGGCTTCAATCTGAAGACAGTATGCCCAGCAATTGTTTTAATATTAACTGAAGACTCTTCTTCTGTTGTTTATTTCAGGATAGCCCAAGTTTACGTGATGATTTTTATTCCTGCCCTCCCTGTAAGTTTCACGACTGTTGTTGTGGCCATTACATGAAACAGCTCCTTGGTTTTGCCCTGTGTGTGTCCCGGATCCTGCCTTTTGTTTGCTTATGTGTCATAGTGATGTTCTTGTAGGAGCCCAACATGGGCTTTTTGGACATTCATCCCTACCGTACTGATCTCAGAACTTACACCACTCTGATGTCCAGCAGCTTCAGATGTCCTTCTCAAGTCACATTCCGGGTCACTTCTGAGTACAGATTAATCAGAGTGTTTCCCAGGACCGTCTGGGGCTTGGGGAGGTGCTGCCAGCAGGCAGCCTGAGCTGTCCAGAATGTCAAGGCAGTGGCTTCTGCTCCTGCCATATAGAATTTGCCTGTGTCATTTCTTCAAGAAGTAAATCTTTTATCTACTCCGGAAAATTCCAGATGGTGTCTTGGATTGTTTCGTGTGGGTCTGGTTCTCTGAATTTGAGGTCACATATCAAAAGACAATGTCTTATTAAAAACCAGAACTGCAGTAAACTGTTGGAATTGTATGTTTGTATTAATGAGAGGTGTTTGTTTTTCTGTTTAATTGTATAGGCAGCATTTTTGTTCCAGCTACAGACGAGATACTTACAAAGTCAGGTATAGATTCTTTTTATATTTTTACTCCATAATCTTAGAAATATATACTAAATATTCTTAGGAAATGTTCTATAAAAGTAATTCACAGGTTTTTTCCCTGTAATTCTGCCTCAGAATTCTTGGCCTGGGAGACGTGGGGCCTCTAGGTAGATTTTGTCTTGTCTGGGAGAGACGCCTGCGTCAGTGTTCTGTTCTTCTTGGTCACCTCCCGGTTCTGTCTGCAGCCCCCAACCCACCCCTTACCTCTTCCGGGGCTGTGCCACCTTTGCTGCTGGCCTGGGCCTGGCCCCCACGCCCGTTTGAGCGGAGGGCCCAGAGCTGCCGCAGCCGCGGCCGCGTTCCCGGGCGGCACAGGCCGAGCCCGCAGTCCACCAGAGGCAGCCGGGCAGCAGGGGGAGGCCGAGGGCCACGGCGGTGGACAGTGGTGAGGGCTGGCCGCCGCCTGCGGGTGTGTCCTCTGAAGGCCGGCAGCCGCCTGCCCGCCTGCACTTCTGCGGAGGCACTGTCGTCGAAGCCGCAGTGGGACCCATTCTGTCCGCTGGCCAGCTCTGTTTCAGTGTAGGAGGAAAAGCCGAAGTTGACTCAGAACGGTGTGTCTCTGAGTACAGCGTGGTGGACGGCGGGGGCCGAGACTTAAGTGGTGGCCCCTGAGACACGGGGCGGGCGCGCTCTGCACACTTGCTGCCGAGCAGGCGCTGGGCGTCTGGGCCGCGCCCTAGCCCCGCCGCAGCGCGGAGAATTCGGGCGCCCTCCGGGCTCCCGGCAGGCTTCCCCTCGTGCCTCCCGGCGGGCCTGCTCCGCTTCAGGAGGGGCCCTTCCTCCTGCGGCTGTGGAGGCCGGTGGGCCGCAAGCTGTGCCGATGGGGCGCGTCTGTTCGCGGGTGTCACCCTGGCCGTCCAGCCTCGTGTAACTGTGCCCCGTCCAGCCTCGTGTAACCGTGCCCCGTCCAGCCTCGTGTAACCGTGCCCCGTCCAGCCTCGTGTAACTGTGCCCCGTCCAGCCTCGTGTAACTGTGCCCTGTCCAGCCTCGTGTAACTGTGCCTGTCCAGCCTCGTGTAACTGTGCCATCACTTGAAGTCGTTGCTTCTCAACCTGAGTGTCCACTTGACAAGCTAGCTGATGCGCTTCTGAAAGTGCTAATTTTTCCTGTTTGTTCGAGGGTTTTAGGGCATCATCATGCCTCAGGTTATTACTGGGGTCGCAGCCAACGTCCTCAACGCGGGCATGAACGCGCTCTTGGTGTACGCTCTGGACCTGGGAGTGGTGTAAGTCCCTGCGTCTGTCGGACACCGCGCGGGGCGGGCGGGCGCACAGCAGTCGGGCGGGTGCGGGCGGGTGCGGGCGGGTGGCGGGGCGGGCGCACAGCAGTCGGGTGGGTGCGGGCGGGCGGCTGGAGTGGGCGCGAAGGTGTTCTGTGGCCAGGTAAGAGCCGGTGCGCCGGCCTGCAAGAGGGGCGGCCCCAGGCTGGCGCGGGGAGGGCGGCGGGGCTAGGCAAGGAGAGGGGCTGGTGTTGGAGAAGCGACTTGCAAGCCGATCACCTGCGTGTCCAAGAGCAGAGAATCGCCTGGTCCGAGAGGGCCGAGCGCGCCCGGGCGGAGGTGGGGCAGTCGCCTGCAGGGGTGCCGCCCCGCCACCCGCCGGACGCAGCGGCTGAGCTGAGTGCCACGTTTACGGCCCGGGAGGGAGGGCCCCCCAGAGGAGGGAGGGCCCCCCAGAGGAGGGAGGGCCCCCCAGAGGAGGCCTGCCGCTGTGGGCCCCACCGGAGCCGTCTCAGGGCCAGCCGCAGGTGTTGGGCGGACCCCTCTGACGTGTGTCCGAGGGTTTGTCGGTGGATTATTGAGGCTGTTGGGACGAGGAATGGCCATGGCCATAACTCCTTATGAGCCCTTTTGCTTTTCCACTGGTGAATAAATAACATTTGGTTCTTCCACAAAATTCAATGTTGATAGAAACAAATCTATTATAAGTGGATTCAGTGTTTAAAATATTAAAAGAAGACAGTCCAAGAGTCCCAGGCTCATCGATAGCTGTGGTTCTTACCCCAGAGCAAAAGCTTGTGGAGGGCGGCCTGTTTGCTGTTATTTGGAGGGAACGTACTGACAGCAGATCTCTCGTCTCCTGCAGAGGGTCTGCCTGGGCCAACACCGCTTCGCAGTTCTTCCTGTGCGCTCTGCTCTTCCTCTACATGCGGTGGAGGAAAATCCACGTCAGCACCTGGGGAGGTATGAGCGTGTCGATTTCTTGCCTTATGTGATTCGTCATTCGGAAAGATGTAATTCTGGTTTCTGGATTCTTTTTCCCAGAGCACTTTTTGTTTTTATCTTGGGAGATCTAAAAATTGCAAAAAATGTGGTCTCAGGCAGCGTGCCCACCGGTGTTGAGAGGGTGAAAAAAATGTTTAAGTTATTGAAAATATAAAAATTACAAATGAGAGTCCACTTGCTCAGTGCTTCTTGGGTGTGGCTCCAGGCCAAAAAAAAAAAAAATTGCAGAGATTTTTCTAAATGACCACGAAAGCAGCTTTGTTTGTAGAAAACTGTTTGTAGCTACTGGGTTTTAAGAATTAATATCTAATGAATTAAAATGTCAAATACATTTTATCAACTCAAGGGAACAAATTGAACTCTCTTTAATAATCAGTACCACTGGCTGGGCAGGGTGGCTCACACCTATAATCCTAGCACTCTGGGAGGCCGAGGCGTGCGGATTGCTCGAGGTTAGGAGTTAGAAACCAGCCTGAGCAAGAGTGAGACCCCATCTCTACTATAAAAATAGAAAGAAATTAATTGGCCAACTAATATATATAGAAAAAAATGAGCCGGGCATGGTGGCACATGCCTGTAGTCCCAGCTACTCGGGGAGCTGAGGCAGTAGGATTGCTTGAGCCCAGGAGTTTGAGGTTGCTGTGAGCTAGGCTGATGTCACAGCACTCACTCTAGCCTAGGCAACAAAGCAAGACTCTGGCTCAAAAAAAAAAAATAAAAAAATAAATAAATAATCAGTACCATTTACAATTTAGCTAAATTTCTTTAATATTTTAATATATGTTGCTATGTTTAATAAATTAGATTTGTTTTTGTTTTTTTCCATTTTTTCTAGCTTTATTGAGGTATGATTAACAAAACTTGTATGTTTAAAGTAAACACTGTGATGTTTTGATATATGTGTATGTCGTAAAGTGATTAGCACTATTAAACTAATTAACATATCCATTACCTCACATAGTTACCCTTTTCTGTGTGTGGTAAGAATATTTAAGATCTACTCTCTTAGCAAATTTCAAGTATACAATATAGTATTATTAATTATACTCACCATGTTGTACATTAGGTCTCTCATTTTTGAAGGACAGCTTTGCTGGGTATATTATTCTTGTTGACAGTTTTTTGTTTTTTTTCATTTAGCACTTTGAATATATAATCCCACTCTCTTCTGGCCTATAAGGTTTCTGCTGAGAAATCCACTGATAAGCCCTGTCAAGATTTCTTTGTATGTGATGATTCTCTTTTCTCTTGCTGCTTTCAAAAGTCTCCTTTTCTTTGATTTTTTTTTTTAATTTCAGCTTATTATGGGGGTACAAATGTTAAGGTTATATATATTGCCCATGCCCCTCTTCCCCCTTGAGTCAGAGCTTCAAGCGTGACCATCCCCCAGACGTTGCACATCTCACTCATTATGTTTGTATATACCCGTCCCTTCCTCCCGCCTGATACCCGATAAATGTTATTCCTATATGTCCACTGAGGTGTTGATCTGTTAATACCAACTTGCTGGTGAGTACATGTGGTGCTTGTTTTTCCATTCTTGTGATACTTCACTTAGTAGAATGGGTGTCAGCCCTAACCAGGAAAATACAAGAGGTGCTAGATCACCATTGTTTCTTAAAGCTGAGTAGTACTCCATGGTTAACATATACCACATTTTATTAATCCACTCATGTATTGATGGGCACTTGGGTTGTTTCCACACCTTTGCAATCGTGAATTGTGCTGCTATAAACATTCTAGTGCAGGTGTCTTTTTTGTAGAGTGTCATTTGATCTTTTGGGTAGATGCCCAGTAGTGGAATTGCTGGATCAAATGGTAGATCTACTTGTATCGCTTTGAGGTATCTCCATATTACTTTCCACAGAGGTTGAACTAGTTTGCAGTCCCACCAGCAGTGTTGGAGGGTTCCTCTCTCTCCACATCCACGCCAGCATTTATTGTTTGGGGACTTTTTGATAAAGGCCATTCTTATTGGAGATAAGTGATATCTCATTGCAGTTTTGATTTGCATTTCTCTGATGGTTAGAGATGTTGAGCATTTTTTCATATGTTTGTTGGCCATTCTGTCTTCTTTTGGAAAATTTCAGTTCATGTCCTTTGCCCACTTTTTGATAGGGTTGTTTGATTTTTCCTTGCTGATTTTCCTGAGTTCTAAGTAGATTCTAGTTATCAGCCCTTTATCAGATGCGTAGCTTGCGAAAATTTTCTCCCATTCTGTGGGTTGTCTGTTTGCTCTCTTGACAGTGTGTCTGTGCAGAAGCTTTTTAATTTGATTATGTCCCATTTATTTATTTTTCTTGTTGCTGTGATTGCCTTTGGGGTCTTCTTCATAAGTTCTTTGCCTAGGCCAATGTCTAGAAGAGTATTTCCAACGTTTTCCTCTAGAATTCTAATAGTTTCACACCTAAGGTTCAAGTCTGTTACCCAGCGTGAGTTGATTTTTGTGAGAGGTGAAAGGTGTGGGTCCTGTTTCAGCCTTCTACATGTGGCTATCCAGTTTTCCCAGCACCATTTATTGAATAAGGATTCTTTTCCCCAGTGTATGTTTTTGTCTGCTTTGTCAAAGATCAGTTGGCTATATGAGGATGGTTTTTTTTTTTTTTTTTTTGAGACAGAGTCTCGCTTTGTTGCCCAGGCTAGAGTGAGTGCCGTGGCATCAGCCTAGCTCACAGCAACCTCAAACTCCTGGGCTCAAGTGATCCTTCTGCCTCAGCCTCCCGAGTTGCTGGGACTACAGGCATGCGCCACCATGCTGGGCTAATTTTTTCTATATATATTAGTTGGCGGATTAATTTCTATTTATAGTAGAGTCGGGGTCTCGCTCTTGTTCAGGCTGGTTTTGAACTCCTGACCTCGAGCAATCCACCCGCCTTGGCTTCCCAGAGTGCTAGGATTACAGGCATGAGCCACCACGCCTGGCCTATGAGGATGGTTTTATATGGGTTCTCTGTTCTGTTCCACTGGTTAATGTCCCTGTTCTTGTGCCAGTCACAAGCTGTTTTAATTACTATAGCCTTGTAAAGTATAGTTTGAAGTCTGGTAAATTGATACCTCCTATTTTGTTTTTATTGCTTAGGCTTGATTTTGCCATACAGGGTCTTCTCTGGTTCTATACGAAGCATAAAATTATTTTTTCTATATCTGTGAAAAATGATGATGGTGTTTTAATAGAGATTGCATTGACTCTGTAGGTCACTTTGGGTAGACATAGACATTTTAACAATGTTGATTCTGCCGACCCATGAGCATGGTATATTCTTCCACCTGTTTACATCCTCTTCTATTTCCTTCTTTAGTGTTTCATAGTTCTCCCTGTAGAGGTCTTTTACCTCCTTAGTTAAATATATTCCTAGGTACTTTATTTTCTTTGCTACTATTTTGAAGGGAATTGAGTCTTTGATTTGGTTCTCACTTTTACTGTTGTTGGCGTATATCAATGCCTCTGATTTCTGTGTATTGATTTTGTATCCTGGGACTTTAGTCAATTCATTTATCAATTCAAGGAGTCTCTTGGTTGAATCGTTGGGGGTTTCTAGATATAATATCATGTCATCAGCAAAGAGTGAGAGTTTGATCTCTTGTTCTTCCATTTGGATGCCCTTAATTCATCTCTCTTGTCTGATTGCTGTGGCAAGGACTTCCGGCACTATGTCGAACAGAAGTGGAGATAGTGGGCAACCTTGTCTTGTTTCAGTTCTAAGTGGGAATGCTTTCAGTTTGTCCCCATTCAGTATGATATTGACTGTAGGTTTGTCATATATGGCTTGTATCATTTTTAGATAAACCCCATCTATGCCTATTTTGTTGAGCTTTCTTATCATAAAAGGGTGTTGACTTTTGTCAAATGCTTTTCTGCGTCTATTGAGAGGATCATATGGTCTTTGTTTTTGCTTCTGTTTATATGGTGAATTACATTTATAGATTTGCATATGTTGAACCATCCCTGCATCCCTGGGAAGAAGCCCACTTGGTTGTGATGGATTATTTTCTTGACAAGCACCTGGATTTGATTGGCTAGGGTTTTATTGAGAGTTTTTGCATCTATATTCATAAGGGATATTGGTCTGTAGTTTTGGTTTTTTATTGCATCCTTTCCTGGTTTTGGTATCAGGGTTATGTTCGCTTCATAAAATGTGTTGGGGAGTATTCCATTCTTAATGTTGTGGAATAATTTCTGCAGGATAGGCACCAGTTCTTCTTTGTAGGTGTGGTAAAATTTGGGTGTGAAACTTTCTTTGATTCTTGATAGTTCAATTATTATATGTCTTGGTGAAGTCTTTTTTGAGTTGAACCTGATTGGAAACCTCTAAGCTTAATGAACCTGCTTATTAAAACTCCCCAGATTTGAGAAGTTTTCAGCCATTATTTCTCTGTATATGTCTTTTCCCCCTTTCTCTCTGTCTTCTTCTTCTTTAATTCTCATAATGTGAATGTTAGCTCTCTTGATGGTATCCCATATTCCTGTAGGCTTATTTCTTTAATCTTCATTCTTTTTTTTCCCCTCCTCTGACTGAATATTTTTAAATGACCTGTCTTCAAGTTTACAGCTTGATCACATCTGCTGTTGATACTCTATTGAATTTTTAATTTCATTTATTGTGCTGTGTACTTAACTTCAGAATTTGGTTATTTTTTTTATGATTTATATCTCTTTATTGGACTTACTTTTTTGTTTTTTAGTTTTTTATTTGTGTGTTTTTTTGTTTTAAGAGACAGTGCCTCATACTGCCCAGGCTGGCTTTGAACTCCAGGCACCTGCAGCTGCACCCAGCTTGACTCCTAATTTTGTTTATGTATTATTTTTCTGATTTCATTAAGTTGTCTATTTGTGTTCTCTTGTAGCTTGCTGAGCTTCCCTAAAGTATTTATTTTGAAGCCAGGTGCAGTGGCACAAGCCTATAGTTCTACCTATTTGGGAGGCTGAAATGGGAGAATTGCTTTTAAGCCCTGGAGTT